CACGAACCCTGACGGCCCCCAAATCGAATTCGGATCAACGTGCCCTTAGCTGTCGCCCACCCATCATCGTTGCCAGACAGATATGGTTTAAATCCGCTGGCTTGGATTCAGGCGCACCAACTACTCCATCGTGTTAACAAAGTGACCGAACGACGATAAACTTCCTCCTGCAAATCTACGTGTCGCAATATGTCCTCGATTTGCGTGGTATGCGGTATGCGCTGCAATGTGTTCTTGAATCTTCTGAGGCTGGCAAACCAATTTCCCAAGCTTGTTCTGTGTGGACTGTCGATTCGCTTCCTGAGCGCTCTGTTGAAAAGGGGGCGGTCTGCCTGCTGAGTTGCTGGGGGAAAGCTTGGCACGACATGAGGCTGCCATTGTGGTGTCTCCGGCTCCCCGCATAATCCACCAGCTGCTGTATATCCAGAGTTGTGGCTGTCCCCTTCTCAGAGCTGTCTTTGAACGGTGGCTCACACTGTGAGCTTTCGAATTCGGCATCCTTTTCGTTCCAAGATTTGGGGCACAACAGCTCTGGAAACGGTATTGCTTCAACGTAACGTCATCATTTGCCACAGTGATTGCGCCAATCCCACTGCCACCTGCTTTTGGTACACCCACAAGTCCCACAATTCTGAGCCCGAGAGGCCTAGGGCAAGAAGTCCACGCCACCATTGGACACTGGGCACGGCGCGAGCAGACGCCGTCGTGCCCTTTGCTCCTGAAGGAGCCCGCCGAAAAAGACGGCACCTCGCATGTCCTGGCGAACGAGGGGCGCTGCTGGAGCCGCTGTGCTCCTTCTGCCAGGCAAGTCAGGTCCTGAGTCGCATCGCTGAGGACTTGAAACTGCCTGGCTTGAGCCAACGTGGCCACAGTCCGTCTCCTCCTGCCTCCCGCCTTCCTCCCCTTTCTGGCCGCCCCTCGCCGGCCAGGGCCAGGTCGGGCTTGGACCCGCGGACCCACACTCGATCCGCAAGGGCCCAACCAAACAAAACAACCTCGTCTTCCTGACATTCCTCCTCCTTTTCCTCCTTCTCCTCCTCTCCCTACATATTCCCCCCTTGCAAAGGCAAGCTAATAGTGGTAGTGTGACACTACCGTAGTTTTCGAAAAAAAAACGCCCATCCCGAATGCGTGTTGAAGCGGGTCCAACCCCCCAGCCCCGATTTCAAAGTTCGAGGCGGTCGACGCGAGGGAGTGCGAGTCGTTTTGAAAAAAAACGCCCTCATTTGCAAACCGCGGCCTGCTCCCGTAGATGAGCATCGAAATTGGGGGCGCGGGGGACGCTTTTGCGCCATCTTCTAATAATTCCCCATATCCAAAGATGGGGTTCTTGTTATTGGCGGACCGCGCCGGAAGGACACAGAACAGGACAGAACACCACACCCATCACTCAGACACACACGTAAGTTATTCCCCATATCCTAAGATGGGGTTCTTGATTCCCCATATCCAAAGATGGGCTTTTGATTCCCCACTCACTCATCACTCAGACTCACTCATCAAGACTCACTCATCACTCAGACTCAGTCCTCACTCAGACACACCACTCATCACTCAGACTCACCACTCAGATTCACTCATCACTCAGACTCACTCATGCTCTCTCATCACTCAGACTCAGTCATCACTCAGACTCAGGCGATTCGCTCGTCTCAGCAATCTAAGGGGGGCGGCGGGGGAGTATTTCACGGGGTCCCGTTCGCGGAATTTTGTGGGGATGTCTCAGGCGGTTTGGCCATTTTCTGATCCAGCATGTTTCGTTTTCGGAGCAGATTTGGAGGATGTCTCACGCGATTCGCTCGTCTCAGCACTCTAAGGGGGGCGGCGGGGGGGTATTTCACGGGGTCCCGTTCGCGGAATTTTGTGGGGATGTCTCAGGCGGTTTGGTCATTTTCTCTTCCAACATGTTTCGTTTTCGGAGCAGATTTGGAGGAAGAGGAGGAGGAGTCAGGAGGAAGAGGAGGAGGAGGAGGAAGAGGAGGAGGAGGAGGAGGAGGAAGAGGATGATGATGATGATGATGATGATGATGAGGGGGAGGAGGAAGAGGAGGAGGAGACTGGGGAGGAGGAGGAGGAGGACGAGGCAGGGGAGGAGTAGGAGTAGGAGTAGGCGGAAGAGGAGGAGGACGATGATGAGGAGAAGGAGGCGAGCATGAGCACGAGTAGGAGCAGTAGAATGGGATGATGATGATGATGATGATGATGATGATGATGATGATGATGATGATGATGATGATGATGATGGTGATGCTGGTGATGATAATGATGGCGATGATGATGATGATGATGATGATGATGATGGTGGTGGTGGTGATGATGATGATGATGATGATGATCGCAACGACGATGGCCGCGCCGCTTTTTTGATAATCGAGGAGGAGGAGGAGGCGCAGGAGGAGGAGGAGGAGGAGGAGGAAGAGGAGGAGGAGGAGGAGGAGGAAGAGGAGGAGCTATTGTCAGGGCCTCCGGATGTCCTGGCGACTTCCCCGAAACCGGTTTTTCATCTTGGATCCATTTCTGGTGGTCCCAGGGCCCGTTGAGAGGCTCCGAAAACCGAAAACGGCCGAAAACCAGTTGCTCCATTTCTTTTGGAGCATCGGAGTCCCCCCTTTTTCATTGCTCATCCTTCTCTTTGCTCATCCTTCTCTTTGCTTTTCTACTCTCGTGTCCCCCCACCCCAAGGAGGAGGAGGAGGAGGAGGAGGAGGAGGAGGAGGAGAATGAGAAGGAGGAGGAGGAGTGGAGAAAAGAGAGGAAAAGGAGTGTAAGGAGGGAGGAGGGGAGGATGAGGAGGAAGGAGGAAGGAGGAATGAGGAAGGAGGGAAGAGGAAGAGGAGGAGGGGGAGGGGAATAAGGCAGGAGGGGGAGAGGGTTTCGCCTTCACTTTTCAAATTCTTAACGCTTCGCGCTACCTCACAAGCCCATTCAGAAACGACGCCCAGGCGAGTTGAGTTGATCAGAGATATCTAACAGCTACAGAGGACCTGCCGCTATCTTTCGTTAAAAATATTAGGGGGTATTTCTTGGAAGGTGTGTTGGAGGCTTCTTCGGGTGTCTGGAGATCCTCTTAGCAGACCTCGGAGATCTCCTTGACGCTCTTGGGGAGTTCTTGGGAGCATATTGGAGACCTCTTCACCGCTTCTTTAGGCCCCGCCCTCGGTCCTGGGGGGACTGGATAAAGAGAGTGGTAAACCCTCCCTGAAGAGGAAACAGAGAGTTGGAAGAAAAGCTGTCCTAGCACTCATACGCTCAGAGGCTGGTGGAGCCAGCGAAGCGTGGCGATACGGGCTTGATTATCGAAGACGCCTACGGCGAATCACCGCCGCCCCCTGCCTTTTTGGAAGCGCCTATGTGGCCGAACGTTGAGGCCAGACCTGCCAAGCTATCGGACCACGTGTTCCCCGAATCGGTTTGGAAAGCCTTCGGGGAACACGTGGGCATCTTGAAGGTCATCTTGGCCGTCTTGGAGGCCTCTTGGGCAAGCTTTGGGCGATCTTTGGGGCTTTTTGGGCCGTCTCGGGCCAGCTTCGAGCCAACTTCGGCCATCTTGGTGGGTTCCTGGCACGTCTGAAGCCGTCGGAAGCCGTTTGGGGGGCCTCTATGGGCCGACTTGGGGCCCGCTTGGAATGCTCCAGGGCCGTCTTGGAGGCCATCTTGGGCGTCTGGGAGGCCATCTTGGGCGTGTTGGAGGCCTCTTGGGCCCTCTTGGGGCCCTCTAGGGGCCATCTTGGAGGCCACTTGGGCCATCATGGGGCTCTCTTGGGGGCCTCTTGGGCGATCTTGGGGGCTTCTTGGGCCGTCTCGAGCCGTCGGAGAGCCGAAAAGGCGCAAATGCCAGAATCCTTCAAAAACCAATGAAAAATCAATGATTTTGGCCTCTTCGGACTCTCCTGGAGGACCTCTTGGAGGCCTCTTGGGCCGTCTGGGAGGCCTCTGGGGGGCCTCTTGGGCCGTCTTGGGCCGTCTTGGACTCTCTTGGGCCGTTTTGGAGGCCGTCTTGGACCATCTTGGGCGGACTTGGAGGCCATCTTGGGCCATCTTCGCGATTTTTTGAAGATGTCCCGAACGAAACGGCCGTTTGTTTGAGGATTTGTTCCGGTCGTTGAGCACGTTTGGGGGCCTTCCGGGTGGCCGGCGGGTTCTGCCGGAGCCCACTGGGGAGTTCTTTTGGAAAAAGAACCAAAACCAAAACCTGAAACATCCAGCACGCCGTGCACCCCTGCAAGCAGGGGGCGGCGGATCCACCTGCCTGCGGCAAGTCCCGCCACCGTGCGAGTCCAGCATGCTCGGCGGCTCTCGTTCCAATGAGGACGGGAGGCCGTACTCGCGAGGGATGAACAACGAGGTAATGATGATGAGGCCGGTACTCGCGGGTTCTACCACGTTCTTACGTGCCAAAGGTACGGTGGCGGAAATATCAAACCCGTCCCCCTGCGAACACATTTTAAGACAAATATCGTGCCGAGCTCGATCCCCACGTCTTCTCGCACCCCACTGGGGCGCGATTTGTGGGAGTTCCAGAAATGGAACAAGGAGTCATTTGCATTTCGTTGCCACGGAAAAATCCGCGTTCTATTTTCTCTTTCCCCCCCTCCTCCTCCTCCTCCTCCTCCTCCTCCCTCTCCCTCCCTCCCTCTCTCTCTCTCTCTCTCCCTGCCGGCTGTGAGGATGTCTCGAGCGAGCAGGCAGTGCTGTAAGTAGGGAGCATGTTGCCCACACTCATGCCCACTCACACTCAAACGGAGGACGCGTCAGCAAGGATGTGTAAAACAATCCTATCACGCTCAGAGAGCGTTACAATCTACGTTTCGCGTGTCGTGAGGCGTTCCTTGACATATACCCATAGAAAGACTTACCAAGGGATTGATATGCATGGAAATCCATGGAAAGATGTGCCAAGAGAATGAGATGCACATATGGGGAGCCCCGTGTCGAGTAATTATACTTGGGCGTTTTTTTCGAACTCGCCGGTATCACTGGGTATTTGGCTGCACTGGCCGCCAGCTTCTCCGGGTAGGGGAACTCGCAGTGCAGCCGCGTCAGGTCGCGCCAGTCTTCGGCCAGCTCGTATCTCGAGGCTTCGTCTCTTTCCCAGGTTGGTCGCGCATCCCATCGCTCGTCGTCGCCATTGTCCTTCGTCGCCGTCGCCGTTGCTCTCCGTCGTTGTCGTCGTCGCTGTCACCGTCGCCGTCGCCGTCGCCGTCGTCGCTGTCGCTGTCACAAGCTTCGCCGAGGCGGCCGTCGTCGCCGTCCCTTTGCCGTGCTGAGCTGCGCAGTTGAGTTCCACTCCTCCTCCTCCTCCTCCTCCTCCTCCTCCTCCTCCTCCTCCTCCTCCTCCCCATCCTCGCACTGCTCGAGGCCCCTCGTCCTGGGCCCCATCCCATCCCTCAAGGCCACATCCTCGAGCCGCCCGCAGGACTCTGCTGCGGAGCGCCCCGCCCTTCCGCAGGGGGGAGGTGGCGGTCACTGCCCTGCCCGGAGGAATGAGCATCGTTTAACCGATCCCCATCCCCACCAGCCTGGCCTGGGCCCCACCGATTCGCCCCCCTAGATGGGGATAGAGGCTGCTCCCATCGGGTCTCGAGGGGAATCTGCCCAACTGGGGTGGTGAGACGGGGGGGCTCGGGACGGGGATGTGGATAGGGATGGGGATCGGTTAAACGATACTGAAGGAACACACCGATCGGGCATCAGGGGCCGGGCCCACTTCGTTTTCGTTTTGTCTTCGTTTCCCGTTGTTCTTGATCGTTCCTCCTCTGGTGCAAAACACCGTCAAAACGAACACGGTCCACGAAATCGCCAAAACACCGTATAGGTCTAGCCCTGGCCAACAAGCCGTCAAGCGTTGCGCTGCGAGAGTGCAGAGGATTCTAACTCTGCAAGCCCGCTGCGCAGGTCAAAAGCAGCGCGCCCATCGCCCGCGCATGCCCGCGCAGTTCGGCGGCACAATATGGTGGGAGCTCACATCCCGAATGGTATGGAGAAAGATGCACAAACTGGTACGGAAGAGAAGATATAACGTGATTGTCTGTGTAAGATCTTAAGGTCGACCAAACTTGAGCCAAAACAGTTACCCGGGGGTTCTGGGCTGTTTCGGGGTTGTGTTGGAGGCTTCCGGGGCCTTGGGCTTTCGGAGGCCCGAAACGGAGAGACCACGACAGGCATTGAAAACTCTGAGAAACGCCAGTGACTCTGGCATCCTGGAGGTCCTCTTGAAACTCTCTTGGGGCGTCTTGGGGGCTTCGCGGGCCGTCTGGAGGGCATCTTCGGTCGTCTTGAAATCATAGTGTGACCTCTCGGCGGCATCTTAGATCCTCTTGGGGCCATCTTGGCCGTCTTGGAGGCGTCTTGGGTGCAACCCCACCTCAAGTGCGAAAAGAACCTGACGTATCATACCATGAGAAGCACGACGCAACAACCGTAGCGTAACGTTGTTGCGAAATGCTGTTGCGAAGTGCTTCTGCGCATTAGTAAGCTTGCGCAACGCAAGCTCAACAGTCGCTTTAGATCGTCTCTCTGAGACCCTCTTTGAAAAGCCGCCTTCGGGGCCCAAGCAGAGGAGAGAGGACCCGCAGAAGTCCATGCCGCCCAACGCGCCACATCCCCCCTCTCGACGGGCCACCCCGCCTCGGGATGTCTCCCCTCGAGCCCTCCACACCAGCCTGCCGCGGATGCGCGCGGCGCGCGAGAGGGACGCGCAAGCCGCTCCGAGTGGCCCTTCCGCGCTGCTCCGCGGCACGCGGCTCTGCACGACGCGCGCGCCCCACCGGTCGATCACCACAAGTGACCCTCACCGGCTCCCGTGTCAACTCCGCCAGCTTCGCGTTCGCGCTGCTGCGCGAAGCCGAGGCCCCCCACGCAGCGGAGGAGGAGGAGGATGAGGAGGAGGAGGATGAGAAGGAGGAGGAGGAGCGAGCGAGCGAGCGAGCGAACAGAGAAGAGGGGGAGGAGGAGGAGCGAGGAGGAGGAGCGAGGAGGAGGAGCGAGGAGGAGGAGGAGGAGGAAGAGGAGGAGGAGCCAAGGAAGACTGCGCCTCGCTCCCCAACACAGGACACGAAGACACCGCCGGGGAGGGCCGCCGCTGCCTCGACGGCGGCCCTCCCCCGCTCCCCTCCGTGGCGGCCTGCGCACGACGACCGCCGTCGTGCACAAGTCGCCCGACTGGCACGATGTCGAATCCAATCGGTTGGCCTCGGAATCCGCGCCGCGCCGAATCTGGTGAGCTCGAAAGTTTCAGAATCGCGCCTCGGAATGTCGGCATCGGATCGGTTCGCACTGCACGGTTTCCCCTGGGGCCGTAGGCAACCCGAGGAGGAGGAGGAGGAGGAGGAGGAGGAGGAGAAGGAGGAGGAGCTGGAGGGGGACGGGGAGGAGGAGATGGAGGAGGAGGGAGAAGGAGGAGGAGGAGGACGACGACGACGGGTTGCCTAAGCCCTTCGGAGAACCCTGTTGGCATCGGACTCGGATCGGTTGGCATCGATCCCCGCGGAGAGCGATTCGAATCGGACTGGTGGGGCTGGAGTGCGCCCGCGGCGGTGGCCACTGCGACACGCTGCCCTGTGCGCACTGTGCGTGGATGGCGCGTCGCTCCACTCCGCGGGGCGGGAGGCCGGGAAGAGCTCGGGACGTTGACGCCTCGGGGCTGGGACGCGGTCCGCGTGCTGCGCTGAAGGGAGGTGGGCCAGAACCGGCGGCTCGACACACGAAGCAAAGCCCCAAACGCCGACGTCGTATGTCTTCACAGCGTGGTCTCCGGAGGTCTTGACTCCTTCCCCGGGGCCAACTTCTCGTCCCGAACTTGTGTTTTGCTGACGGTCCCGGGGCATGCCAGGGGCCCCCGGAGGCCGAAACCTACCAAAAAGCACCCGTCGTGATCTTTGTAAACGACGAACAACACGCCCCTGACCCCTCAAAGCTGTGCACAAACGCTGGGGTCCTCCCAGCCGTCCGCACCAGAACGCGCTCTTCCATCAACTTGTTGCACAACTCGTGGATGGCGAACGGGTTACCGCCAGAGGTCGTGAATATGTAGTTGATGAGGTCGCCATCCAACCTAAGCGTCGCGTCCACCGCCTCCTTCCATGACGGTACCCCCTCCTTTTCATCATACTCATGATGCTTATCTTCCTGTTGTACTCGTCCTGCTTCGGATCCTCCCCATCCCTTCCTCACCCTCTTCCTCCTCCTCCTCCTCCTCCTCCTCCTTATCCTCCTCCTCCTCCTCCTCCTACTCCTCTTCCCTCTCACTCTCTCTCTCTCTCTCTCCCCTGATTTTCTCCCCCAACTATTCTCCTCCCCCCTCCTCCGCATACTCCCAACCCCCTTCGTCGTCGTCGTCCTCCTCCTCCTCCTCCTCCTCCTCCTCGGCCTCCTCCTCTTCCTCCTCAACCTCCTCCTCCTCCCTCTCCCGCTCCCCCTCCCACTTCCGCCTTCCGCCGCTCCCAGCCCCCATCCCACTCCTCCCTTTGCTCCTACTTCTGCTGCTGCTGCTGGTCCGCCTCCTCCTCAGGTCATGATTCCGATCCCAACCAGCCGCTTCTTGGTGGCGGCGCGTTTCGGACGCCTAGTATTCTCCTGGGCCCAAAGGCTCGCAGAAGGATGCAGCATTCCCGCGCGCGTGCGGTGCAGGACGCGAGCAGACGCAGGTGAAAACCAAGCCGGCGATAGAAAAACGCCGTTCTGCCCACCTACCCAAACTAGGAAAACGATGCAGGTGCAATAATTTCAATACATTCGTTTGATCCCCTCGTAAACTGTAGACGGCTCGGACCGAGGGACATCATTGGATCATCTGGGAAGTCTGGGACCTCTGCGGAGAAACGTTTGGTTGCGAGCGTAACACACAATGCAGCTCGCTGCGGACGTGCGCGGGGAATTCCCACTTGCACATTCGTGTGCTTACAGAGCTCTATGGTCACAGCAGCGCGCACGACAGCGCCTCTGTATCCTCTGTCCAGACGCCTCTGCCCGCATGCATCTACGTGCCGCAAGTATCGCGCTTGTGCCAGCACCTGGATTGGCACCGTTGCACAAATCCTTCGATTATTCCTTGACATATGCGTTTCAGACGCGCAAGCTTTGCAGGGAAAGACACGTGCATCGCAGGAGGTCTTTGGTAGAGCTGCCAAGCCAAGGCCTCGCCGTCAACTCCTCGCGACGAATCAAAGTACGAGATACTGATGGTGCCTCCTATCCTGTATGGTAAAGCGTAGCAGAGATGTTTCCAGATCTGGTGGCCGAGCGTCATGGCCTCCGAAGACTAGCCCGTGCCAATTCCCTGCACCATCTGGTACAACGTATCATTATAGCTCCCAGCTCTGCTCCAGAGTACAAGCTCGCGGATCGTAAGACCAGCCCCCAGAGAGCAACCTCTAAGGGCACTCTCCTCGGAGTATCCTGCGCACTCGGGAACCCCACACGATTCGGAGGAGGAGGACGACGACGACGACGAGGACACGAGCACGACGATGAGGACACGAGCACGAAGACGAGGATGCCTGCAGACCACATGTCCGAGGACCTCGGCCGCCCATGGAAGTCTGGCACGGCCGACGACAACCTGCATGCCACACGTATGAAGGGGCCCACGTGCCAGACTGGGCGGCGCGCACAAGGGGGCAGGCTGAGGTCGGGCGTGTCCCCCTACAGGGGGATTTTGGACGAATAATGAAACATGCCCAAAACATACTCCAAAACTATCAAAACTAGTCCAAAAATCGTGCCCAGACTGTTTTTGCACTATTTTTGGATATTCCCCCTGTAGAGAGACAGGCCCGACTCAAGGGCAGGGGGAGGGGGGAATGCTTCTTAGAAGGAGGCTGCTTCTTAGAAGGCGCTGGCCTTGGACGGCTTCTTAGAAGGAGGCTGCTGCTTAGAAGGCGCAGCGCCTTGCATCTACAGAAAAGGCCCGCGCCTTCTAAGGAGCAAGGGGTGCTTCTAAGAAGACTTACCCCCCTCTCCCCCTACCCCCCTTCTGCGCGTGGCCGACAGACGTGCCAGCGCCCCTAGGAAATACGATTCACAACCTCTCTGTGTGGTCTGCGCGCCGAACCCTGCCAACGCAGACTCAGAACCTGGCCCTCTGTCACGACACCGTCGGTCGAGGATGTGAGGCCGAGGCGTTCTGGGCAACTCCTCGTGCTCGGGGCTCGGGCGAACACCTGCTCTGCAGGTCTGAAAGCCTGGCTCGACGACTTGGCGCCCCAAGTCAGCAGCCAGGAGGCCCCAAGAGGTCCCAAGACGGCCCCCCAGAGGCCCCCAGAGGCTCCGAAGAGGCCCCCAGGAAGACCCGAGAGGCCCTCAGGAGGCTCCCGAAAGACCCCCATGAAGCTCTGGGAGACCCAAGAGGCCCCCCCCCTCCTCGTCCACCTGTTCCGTCTCCCTGTCCTCCTCGTATACAGGGTCGGCGGCATCAACCGTACAGTCGGGCCGCTGAAAAAAAGGAACGCTGCACAAGGAACGAAGCCCCTGCTTGGCCCTGAAAGCGCCTCCGTGCCCCAGGAGGGCCAGAGGAACGGCAATGGAGAAGCATGAGACACATCGAGCCCCCTCCGAATCCAAATTGTTCCTTAATTCAGCGTCTTGACTGCACAGTCAACCCGTATAGTAAGGATAAGCGATAAGGATGAAAGGGCCTCGGACGCCCATTTCGAAGCGTTTCGAGCGGGGCGCGGCCCACGAAAGTGGCGAAGGATGGACCGAGGAGGCAAGGATGCAAGGGTACCCTTGGGAAGGTTGCCCATCCTTACTGTTCGGGTTGACTGTATCTGCTCTGCAGGTCTGCAAGCCTGGCTCGGCGACCTGGCGCTCCAAGTCGGCAAGCAGAGGACCGCCGTTGCTCGCCAGCGCGCGCTGCCCCCTGCCTCGCAGCGGCCCGGCCGCCTCGGCGAAGAACGAGCTCCGCGGTTGGCTCCAGCGCGCGGCGGGGCTGAACGCAGCAAGACGAAGGCAGAATCGAGACAAAATCGGGCCAATGCAAATCGGAAGTCTCTCAGAACCGGCGGGTTTGGAGGATGTATGCGGCGCTGGGGCCCTTGCAAAGCATTCCGGAACGCTATGAGAACTCTCCGGAACGCTCTGGAATGGATTTATCTCGATTCTAGGCCCGTCCGACACAGGTCGCCCTCTCGCATCGGGTTGGTGGGTCTTTCGTCGGGCCGGAATCGCCCGAACCGGTGCCTGCGGGAGGTGGCGGAAATCAGCTTGACCTGGTTCGGGGATCTACTGACCTGGGTCGATCCAGACCTGGGTCAGTCAGGCCTTGCGGGATCCTGCAGGATCCTGCAAGAGCCTGTACGCAAACCCAGGTCAATGACCCCTGGCTCTGCAGGATCCTGCAAGATCTGGCGCTCTGACTGACCCCCCTTTGCAATATGACCCCCGTCTCTTGAGCCCCGACGGGTGACAATCGAGCGCACCCGGCAGCGCCGTGTCCAGGCTGGGCCGTATTGGCTCTCCGGATTAGTGGGTCCTGGAAACGACGATGCCGTTTTTGCTTCTGGTCAGCGTTTTCTTATTCGGCGTTTCGACATCGGGCAGAAGGGGGTGGGAGGGGGGTGTCTGGCTCCAGATCTCTGCTTAGTGCGACTGTTTGCAAAAGTGCTGCCTCTGGGGGAGACTCCACCCGCTCGAAACAGGCGCCAAAAAACAACCAAGATCTACTCCATGGGGGGGGGTGCGAGGGCCCGCGCCGATCGGCAAAACAATGAATAAAAAACGATCGCCTTCGGGTTCCACTTGACTCTTTTTATTTCGGGGTCCGTCGGCATTATTTGTTCTGGTTCCGTCGCCGTTTCTGCTGCGGTTGCGGCTCCTGCTCCCGTTCTGGCGCCGCTCTCTTCCGACCCCGCGAACCGCGATCCGGCGCTTGCACAGCTATCCAAGGGCCAGCAGCGCCAGATCTGCGGAAGCGGTAAAATCTTAGCCAGCGCGGACCCCCAGCAGTCAGCGGAGGTGGAGGCTGCGCTGTGCAAGGGCTGTGTGGTGCAGGGCTGTGTGGCGCAAGGCTGTGTGGTAAAATCTTAGCCAGCGTGGGCCCCCAGCAGTCAGCGGAGGTGGAGGCTGCGCTGTGCCAGGGCTGTGTGGCGCAGGGCTGGCCTGCGCAGACTCTGCGGCGTCGGCCAGGCCGTGCAGGCGTTGCGGCGTGAGCGCTCGTGGGCGCCCACGGGGCGCCCACGGGCGGGCCCGCGCCCCTGGCAGCGTCGTTCCTTCGTCCGTCGTCCCTCCCGCCTCTGCCACTGGGCTCCGCTTGGGCTGGCGACAAGAATGCCGGCTTTGCGGTGTGAGCGGGCGGTGTGCGCCATGACGTGCAAGCCACGTGGTGCAAACCATGTTGTGTAAACTCTGGGGTCCGAGCTGTGCGGTGCAAGCCATGCCGCGCAAGCTACATGGTGCGAGCTACGCGGTGAAGGCTGAACACTGCAGCACGTGTGGCGTGAGCCATTCTGTGGGAGCTGCGTGGTGTATGCTATGTTTGGGTCGGGCATGCCCTCCTACGGGCGGATTTTGGACGAAAAAAATTACAAACAGTCAAACAAAAACTCCAAAACGGTCAAGAAATACTCTAACATCCTCCCCAGACTATCTTCTACTATCTTTTCATCTTCCTCCTGTAGAGGGACAGGCCCGACTCACAGCTGTGCGTGGGTTGCAGGCTGTGGGGTTGCAGGCTGTGTGGCGGAAGCTGCGCTGCTTGAGCTGCCTGGTGCAACCGGTGTGGTGTCTGGCGCACCGGGGCGCCCACGGAGGGCCCAACGAGCGGGCACGACGGGCGCCCGCGCGGCGAGCCCCTCGGGAGACCCGCCGAGCGCACGGGGGGGCCCACGGAGGGCCCAACGAGCGGGCGGGCACGGGCGCTGGCGCGGCGAAAACACCGGGGAAGCCCAGCCAATGCTGCAGCACTGGTTCGTGGGGAACACAACTGCTCCGCGGCTTCCAGGGCCCGCTCGGCTCTTTGGCGACGCTCTGCTGGGGACGCTCTTTCTCCTCCTCCTCCTCCTCCTCCTCCTCCTCCTCCTCCTCCTCCTCCTCCTCCTCCTCCCCTCCTCTTCTCCGATAGCCGCCTCGCCCCGAGCGATGGGCTTGGATTCCCTTTGAACCTCTGGCGAGCTTGGTGATCCCCCTCCCCCTCCTCCTCCTCCTCCTCCTCCTCCTCCTCCTCCTCCTCCTCCTCCTCCTGGGGCTCCTGCACGGGTCCTGTCTCACGGAGGGGCTGTCGAGGAAGATCCGCGGCCCTGAAGAGGCGAGAGGCCGAGCGTCACCCGCGCACGCAGGTCATCCTGAGCGGCGACCAGCGCGGCCAGCTGGGTTGCCACGCTCTCCCTCGCTCACATCGTGCATCCCTCGCGCTTTCGATGGAGTCGTGAAATCGGCGCGCCCTCCCATTCGGCGCGGCCAGCTGGGTTGCCACGCTCTTCCTCGCTCACATCGTGCATCCCTCGCGCTTTCGATGGAGTCGTGAAATCGGCGCGCCCTCCCGCTGAACGTGCGCCGACTTATCTTCTAGGGGCGCGCCCAGCGGTAACCTCACCGTCCGATCGCATTCCAGAGAAAAGCCGAGCGGCTCCTTCAGAGGGAAGGGGGTCCTGCTTGCCCTGGTCCCTTCCATTCCCCTTCTCCTCCTCATCCCCCTAGCCGCCGAGTCGCGGGCGCGTCGTTGGAGAGGAGCTGCTGGACGTACTGCTCCGTGTGCCACAGGCTGAGGTCGGTGACGTGGACCAGGCCTCGGCGAACCCCCGTCAGGGTCCTTGCTCCCTAGGCTGTCGGTCCGAGGAGGAGGAGGAGGAGGAGGAGGAGGAGGAGGAGGAGGAGGAGGAGGGGGAGGAGGAGGGGGGCGGCGAAAGAGGAGGAGGAGGAGGACGACGTCGACAAAGAGGAGGAGAGGACGAGGGAAACACATACCCATTGAACGCCAACGGTCGGTCCAAGTGCTCTCAGCCATGCCTCCTCTCTTCCCTCTGCCGCCTGCTGCCTCCGAACCTAATCCCCCCATCCCCTTGGCGCCGCTAGACAAGACTGTAAATATGGGCGCTTCGCGCCATGCATCTTGGTCCTTCAGTATCGGCCTGCGGGCGGAATGGACTAGAAGTATATTAAACACACAGCGATGAATTCGTGTTGTTGCTTTCCGTCGCCGTTACAATATATGGTCCTTCTCCTTCATTCATATTCCCTTTTCCTCTTCCTCAGATTCCCTCTTCCTCTTCCTCGTTCTCGCTACTTACCCTGCGAACCCTTCCATATTGTCTTCATCTGTTTGTTCGGAGGCTCCTCCTTGGATATCTAAACTCTCGACGCCTCACGAAACCTTTCCAAGGGCTTCTGGAGGCCTTCTGGGTGCCAACTGTGCAGCCGACCTTTGCCATCCCGAGAAATTCCTCGTGGCCTTCGGCGCAACCCGCCAGCCCTGCAAAACAGGCTCCCAACGGCTGTTCCGCCAAATATGGCTCCGAGATGGCCTCCACGAGCGCCCCTGTCGCCACAAAGTCGGTCCAGAGTGGCCCTGGTGGCATCCAGTCGGGCTCAAGGTGGCCCCAGAGAGCTCGAGGCCCAAGATGTCCCCAAAGGGCCTAAGACATCAACGACGGCCAAAGAAACCTCAAGATGGCTCCAGGTGACCACCAGAAAGGCCCCTAGAGGCAAACATAGGTGATCGCCCGTTGGTGTTTCACTGCTCCTTATCTTGTGCGGTGCACGGACTTCATTTCTAGTGTCCTGTTCTGAGGCGGGCATCTGTTGCTCGGCATGTGTGGGCATGTGCGGGTATTTCCCTGGCATGTGCCCGACATGTACGGCCATTTGTTTCACGGACGCGCAATAATTCAATCAACGTGTGCGTATGTGCGGGCATGTGCACGGCATGTGCGGGGGTATGAGCAGTTAGTTGTTCGCAGAAGTTACCGATCAGAGCTTGCCCAGTGGTTGATCTTTGTGGATATGCGGGCATGTGTGCAAACACGGGCCTCATGTTCCTCATCCTCCACTTCCTAGTCCTCCTCCTCCTCCTAGACCTCCTCCTCCTCTTCCTCCTCGTCGTCCCTTACCGTATTCCTCCTTCGTTATTGTCCTCTTCTTGCCTCCCCTCCTCGTCCTCATCCCCTCTCCTCCTCGTCCTTTTACTCGTGCTTTCTTATTATTCCCCTCCTTCGTCGTCGTCCCCCTCTTCCTTCTCACTAGAATTCGCCTGCTCCCTCCTCGCTCCTTCTCCCTCCATCTTATCCCTCCTCCTATATTATCCGCATTCTTCTCCGCCTTCTCTCCTCTCTCCCTTCTCTACAATTACTCAATATGAAAATACTCTCCCTCTTCCCCTGATGGCGTCCGGGTGATGGCCGCGCACCCTCCGCGTACTGTTTTTTTACACACAGGATTCCCGGGAAATCCCGGGAAACGACTCTCGCTGAGGCGCCGGCGTCATTTTTTCCCAAAATGCTGCTCTCGTTGAGGCGCCGGCCTCATTTCTGCTCCCGAATCGTTCCGAATCGTGCTCCCGCTGCAGCGTGGGCCTCATTTTCGGATCGGTGTTTGGCCTCCGTCGTTCAGGATGGCGTTCTCGCCCCAGCGCGGGCCTTTTCTCGCGCGCCCATCCGCCCGCCACCACCGCGCCGCACCGCCACCACCACCACCACCACCACCACCACCACCACCACCACCACCACCACCACCACCACCACCACCACCACCACCACCACCACAACCACCAGCACCAGCACCAGTACCAACACCACCACCACCAGCACCACCACCACCACCACCACCAGCACCACCACCAACACACCACCACCACCACCACCACCACCACCACCACCACCACCACCACCACCACCACCACCACCACCACCACGACAACCACGCACACACGCACGCACGCACGCACGTGCACCACCACCCACTACGCACGCGCGCGCGGAGCCACAGGTCCGCTACGACACGCGTCCGCGGATAGAGAAAATCAGCGCCATGGTAAGGGATGGGAGGGAGGGGTAGGACGTCAGATATGACGCGAGCGCACCTAGCTTATCCCCCTCCCCCTCTCTCTCTCCTCTCCTCCTCGCTCATCCTCCCAGCCCCTAGCCTCTTCTCCTCGCTCCCTGTCTTCCGCATTCCTCATCCCCCTCCCCTCTCTCCCACTCTCCACCTCGTCCTCCGCCTCCTCCTTCTCCCCTGCTCTCCCTCCCTCCCTCCGCTTCGCTCTTCCTCCCTCGTCTTCCCTCCTTCTCCTCCTCGTCCTTGGGTGCCTGGAACTGTGCAAATAGTGTGCCGGCATGTGCTTGGTGTGTGTTGGGCGCCCGATTTGTCCCGGGTAACTCGGGCCCGGGGAAACTCCGAAAAACGAACCCGAGTTAGCCCTGACCCGGCGAGGTACCCCGATGATTTAGGGCTCTGGACGCCCGAGTTATCCGGGGTAACTCGGGCCCGGGGTAACTCGGGTTCGGATTCCCGAAAAACGACCCCGAGTTAGCCCTGACCCGAGTTATCCCTGATGATTCAGGGCTCTGAGTGTGTGTGTGTGCGACGAGAAAGACACATGCCGGGCACATTCCCGGCACATGCCGGCACAATGCTTGCACAGAAGAAGTGGGAAGGAGGAAGCGGAGAAGGAGGAGGAGGTATAGGTCATCCAAGGGCTATGGGGATGATGAGAAGGGGGGCAAGGAGGAGATGCGTGCACGGTTCGATTCATGGGCATGGTCGAGGTCGTGGCAATCTTCAGTGTGCAGCTGATGGACATCGAAGGCATGCGCGGGCATGTGCGGGGGGGGGGCGTCCGAGCTGATCCGCAAAAGGTGCACAGGTGGGTCTGCACCGACTGCGCGGGAAGGAAAAGCAAGAAGCTGAAACGAGCACACCGGACACGAGCACACTGGAAGTGTGCTCTGTGCATCGCCCTTTCTGCCTTCCGACAGCCCAAGATGGCCCAAGATGCCCCCCAGGATCGCCCCAAAAGACGGTCCGACAGGACCCCCAAGAGGGCCCCAAGACAGCACAAGAGGGCCCCAGGATGATTCCACAGCAATCCAGAGAGCCCCAAGACGGCCCCAGAAAGGCCACGCGAGGGCCCCCCAAACGCCCAAGAGGAGCCCCCAAATGAGGCCTCCGAGGGCACCAGATGGCCCGAAGGCGTCCCAACTAAGACTGCCCAGGGAAGCTCCAAGACGGCCCAAGCGGGCCCCAAGACCCCCAGCCGTTCTTACGCCTCCTCCTCCTCCTCCTCTTTCCTCCTCTTTCCTCCTCCTCCTTCCCCTCTCTCCACTGCCCTGGAGTGCAGAGCGTGTGCGAAGGTGCACGGCCTTCGCGCGCAGCGCGCGTGAAGCACTCGCGATGGCACCCGTGCCATCTGGCCGAGGTCCAGGGACTTGCTGGGCGTGTGAGGTTGACGTGCTGACCGCGGACTCGATGTTCGGATTTTTGAGGCTCCTCTGGGGGAGCATTTCAAGAAGAAGAAGAAGAAGAAGAAACGATATAAACATAAGCTTCTGGCGCTCCGCGCGGATTTCTTAAATCCACACCGGACCCCCTCCATGGCGCGCGGAGCGCGCCAGGGGCGGCGCTGGAGGCGCCGTCGGGAGGGGGGCCCGGCGCGGATCTAAGAAATCCGCGCGGAGCGCCAAACGTTACTGTTTATGGCGCTTCTTTCTTCTTTGAAGCGTGCAGCCCACTGACGTGGCCGCACTGGTCGCTCGACGTTCTGCGACAGAGGCGCTCTGGGAAGGCAGGGGGCCGCGGTGAGTGGACGTCGAGCCGCCGCCCCCGCGATTCGCCTTTGGCGAAGCGTCGGGGCGTCAGGCTGTGTCATGCTTGCCAGGCGCACTGCGCCGCCTCCACGCCGGCTGGGCGCCTCAGACCTTGGCCACGGGCGGAGAGAAGCCCGGCCGGCATCTCCCCGTCACGCCTCTCCCCGCCCACCGCCCCCCCTGTGATCCGCGGCCCCGCCGCCCATGCCCTACCCCTCTAGATGCCCCCCCCCTAGGTACTCCTTCCCCGAGTCCCGCCCCAATCCATTCCATTCCTTTCCCCCTCCCGCTCCCCAATCTCCCCCCCCCCCCCTCCCCCCCCTTCCTCGTCCATTCCTCTAAATGCCCCCCCCTAGGTATACTCCTTCCCGAGTCCCCCCCCCCAATCCATTCCTTCCCCCCTCCCCCTCCCCAATCTCCCCCCCTCCCGCCCCCCCATTCCTCTCCCCTCCCCTCCTGATGCCCCTCCCCTGCCCCACCTCTTCGCCCCCGGCGGTGGGGGCGGGGCCATCGCAATCGATGGCGCCCTGCACCAGCGCCTCGTCCGTGAGCAGGCCCGCCCGCGACACCACGCACAGGAAGAGCGGCTGCTGGCGGTTCTCCTTGGTGCGCCGTGCTGCGAGCCTGAGCGGATTTGGAAGAGCCCAGCCTCCCCTCTCCTCCTCCTCCTCCTCCTCCTCCTCCTCCTCCTCCTCCCTCCTCCTCCTCCTCCTCCTCCTACCTCCTCCTCCTCCTCCTCCTCCTCCTCCTCCTCCTCCTCCTCCTCCTCCTCCTCCCCTCTCCTCCTCCCCTCCCCTCCTCTTCCTCCTCCTCCTCCTCCTCCTCCTCCTCCTCCTCCTCCTCCTCCTCCCTCCTCCTCCTCCTTCCCAGCCTCCCAAGATCGGCGGCGAGCGAGGCGGGAATCGAGAAGGGACGGGGCCCCCGGAGGCAGACATCGACGATAACAGCGCTGGGACCGAAACCTTCCCAGACAGGCGGCGTCCTGATTTTTTCAGTGCGGCGTCCCCGGACGTCCAGACCCAGGGCTGAACCCAGACGGTGTTTTTCGTTTTCGTTTTGTTTTCGTTTTCCCTCGTTTTGTCTTCAATCCACCTCTACTGCAGAGTCGAAACGAAAACGGCCCACGAAATCGCCAAACACCGTGTAGGTCAAGCCCTGTCCCGACCCTTCCCCCCAGACCGGCTTTTTCACCCTGCGTGGTTTTTTGTGACGGCCCCGGGGCCCGGCGAGGGCCTCCAGAGCCCGAAACTGGCCAAGAACCTCCGTCCCGATTTTTTGTTACGACGCGAGCATGTCTGGGTTTGTCACGTCGGAGCTCTGGGCTCCTGATTCCTGATCCCCCCCCGTGGACCCTCCTCCTGTTCCTCCTCCTCCTCCTCCTCCTCCTCCTCCTCCTCCTCCTGCTCCTCCTCCTCCTCCCGCTCCATTCTCTTCCGCGCGGGGGCCCCCGGAGGTCTTGACCACTTCCCTAGAGGGCTGTTCTTTTTCGTCCCGAGTCGAGTCGTTCTTGGACGGTCCCGGGACCCGGCGAGGGCCCCCCGAAGGCCGAAAACCGCCACAAAGACCGCCCGTTCCGGTTCTTTGGGAGCGTCGGAGCTCTGGGAAGCGGGCCGTGGACGCCAGCTGCACACCGGCACCGGCCCTGGCCAAGTCAGCCCTGGCCCCACACAACCCCTGGCCAAGCCAGAGCGGACACGTATACGCCGATCCCGTGCCCAGCTGCAATGGCCCGGCCTCTCTCGTTGCAGGCGCACACGGTCGGGAACTTGTTGCTTTTCGCGTGCCGCGACGGCGGCCCTGGCGACGCGCGATCCTCTGCAAGCCCAGACCCCCCCCGGGTCATGAACAAATCACGACGGGAGGCTTCGGGCTATTTTCGGCCTCTGGGGGCCCTTACTGGGCCTCGGGACCGTCATAGCACGACTCCGGATGAAAAGCCAGTCCCAAGCAAACGGGCTCGGACCTTCGGACCTCGGGGGATCGCGTCATGAAAAAAAATCATGACGTCGGGGGTCTGGGAGCGGACAGCGTGTCGCTCCGCTCTGCGGGGCGGGAGTCTGCGAAAAGCTCGGAGCGCTGACGCCTGGGGACCGGGAGGTGCTTATTGGAGAGGCCTGACGGCCGGTGCCGCCGACCCTGATCGAAAGGGCTAGGAGTGGGAGGAGGAGGAGGAGAGGGAGGAGGAGGAGGAGGAGGAGGAGGAGGGAGGAGGAGGAGGAGGAGGAGGAGAGGAGGAGGAGGAGGAGGGGAGGAGGAGGAGGAGGGAGGAGGGAGGAGGGTGGGGGGGGCGGTGCTTATTGGCCTGTCGCGCCGACGCGTGTGGGCCCGAGCCGGCGGCGCGACATGCTAACCAAGTTCCCCACCCACCTCCTCCTCCTCCTCCTCCTCCTCCTCCTCCTCCTCCTCCTCCTCCTCCTCCTCCTCCTCCTCCTCCCTCCTCCTCCTCCTCCTCTCCTCCTCCTCTCCTCCTCCTCCTCCCTCCTCCTCCTCCTCCTCCTCCTCCTCCTCCTCCTCCTCCCTCCTCCTCCTCCTCCTCCTCCTCCTCCTCCTCCTCCTCCTCCTCCTCCTCCTCCTCCTCCTCCTTCTTGGCGTCCTCCCAGGTCCCTGAGATCCGACGTTGCAACAAAAAAAACATCGCACAAAAACACGAGCGGAGCCCTGGAGCCCATCTTTCTGCGTCGTGTCCTGAGGCGGATCGACCTGTGCGGGTCCTGGGGGCCCAGAGCGGGGCGAAAGCGCTTCTGGCGCGAAACAGCTGAACACGCCAGGATCTCAGAGGTCCTGGGAGCAGACCCCCGACGCCATGATTTGCCATCTCGTCGACTCCCCGCAGGTCTCGACCCATTCCCTGCGGGACCGGTTTTCCATCCCATGCAGGTCGCTTCGTGGACGGCCCCGAGGGGCGGTCAGGGCCCCCAGAGGCCCAAAAACAGCGACCAGCTGCCCTCACCACCGCTCGGACGTCCACTCCCCGTGCAGTGTGCGGCTTCGCGCGCGTGTTTTTCGCACGGTGATCCAGGGTTCTCCTCGAGGGTCCTCGCCGACGAAAAACAGGCACGCGTCCGAGCGATGCCCAGTGCCCGTCGTGACTTTGTCCATGGCCCGAGGGGATCTGGGAAGGCTGCCGCCGCTGCTGGGACCCTGCCCCCCCCCCACGGGCCGTCGGGGAACGGCTCGGGACGGGAGGAGGCGGAGGAGGAGGAGGAGGAGGAGGAGGAGGAGGAGGAGGAGGAGGAGGAGGAGGACTGACGCCACGGGCCGTGTCGCCCAGCAGCCTGGTCAGGAAAAGGAAGAGGAGGAGCGGCAGGAGGAGGCGGCGGAGGAGAGCACTCGCCGCGGGGGGCGCGCCCCACGTGCCGCCGCTCGGACGTCCCCTCGTCCCGTCCACCTGTCGGTCTCGTGCCTGCCCAGGACGATGGCCCCCAGGAGGCTCCCCGACGGTCCTCGCCGAGGAAAAAAAAAAAAAAAAAAAACACGTCGGAGCGAGGTCCATTCGTCCCGTGCCCTTTTCGGTCTCGCACCTGCTTTTTTTGTTCGCGGGATGGTGGCCCAGGAGGCTCCCTGATGGCCGGACCAAAAAAAACACAACCACGACGCTGGGCCCCCAGGAGGCTCCCCGATGGTCCTCGCCGAGGAAAAACAAGCACACGTCGGAGCGAGGTCCATTCGTCCCGTGCCCTTTTCGGTCTCGCGCCTGCTTTTTTTTCCGCGGGATGGTGGCCCAGGAGGCTCCTTGATGGCCGACAACAGAAAGCAACCACGGCGCTGGGCTCGCGAGCGCCGCGGGCGGGGGGCCGCCCAACAGGCCCAGGAGGGGCCCACCGAGCCGCCCCCCCCCCTCCCCCTCGGGAGGGCCTCCTCTCGCGAGGGCCCCCCCCTCCCCGGGAGGGCCTCCTCTCGCGAAGGCCTCCTCTCGGAAAGGCCTCCCTCCTCGGGAAGGCCTCCCTCCTCGGGAAGACCTCCCTCCTCGGGAGGGGCCCCCCCCCCTCCTCGGGAGGGCCCCTCCCCGGGAAGGGGCCTTCCGGCAAGGGCCCGCCGAGCGCCCTCGCCTCCCCCCGGGGGAGCGATCGCCGCTCCCGGAGGAGAGCCGCGCCGCCGCCGCCCCCCGGGTCGCGCAGGCGCGCTGCTCGTGCCTGCTCTGGGTGGAGCTGCGGCGGGGTCGGCTGCGGTGGGCTCATGCATGCGGTGTCGGCGCGCGCAACGGCTTTCGATGCCTCGTCGAGATCGTTCGACCTGGAACCGATCGCGGCCCCGGCCGCCGTTCCAGGTTGGAGTCCGTCGGGTCCTGCAGCGTTACCGTGCCCCTCAGTGCTTCCGCGTCGTTCTGGATGGAGCTGCGGCGGGGTCGGCTACACGCAAGAGCGACACTCGTGAGACGAAGCTCGAACGAGGCTGGGGCGAGGAAAACATCGGGTATCCTCCTCCTCCTCCTCCTCCTCCTCCTCCTCCTCCTCCTCCTCCTCCTCCTCCTCCTCCTCCCTGGTCGCGCAGCTGACGTCTCGGGCGCCTCCCATCGCCGAGCAGGCGCCGAGGCATCGAGGGGAAAGGCGCCCAGCGGCGGGGCCGAAGCCAGCTGCACGCAGCAGAGCTCCGCCCTGAGGCGAGGCCAGGACGAGGACAACATCGGGCGAGGAGAAGTCGAGAGTCTCTGAGATCCCGCGGCTCTGGAGCATGCCTCGGGCGCCAGTCGGGAGCGCTCATGGCAAGGGTGCCTCCCCGCCCCGGCCCCGTCCGGCCTGGGCAATCGTGACCTTTGCTGCGCGCCTGTAGGGGGGGGGGGGGCGCGAAGGGGGCCCACACCAAGCGCGCAGGCCGCTGCTCTCGCATCTCACTCGGCGGTCGGGGAGAACCGGCGAGCCCGCACCGAAGAATCACTCTGGCGGAGGGTCACTCTCAGGTGCGTGTAGCCGACAACGGGATGGGGGGGGCCCTCCCCCTGGCGCAGTATCTGTGCATAGATCTGGACGTTCGAGAAGCACGGCCTCGGCCCTGGCGTCTCGGCGGCGGCCTCTGCGACACGCGACGCCTTGCGTCCCGATGTCGTGTCGCTCAGCTTTGCGGGACGAGAGGCTGGGAAAAGCCCGGAAAGCTGATGCCTGGTGGCAGGGACGTGCTTACCGTGTCGCGCTGAAGCGTGGTGGGCAAGGAACCAGCGGCGCGACGCGCCAGGCAGACGTTCTGGGCCGTACCCCCATATCCCCACGCCCCCCACCGATCCACATCTCCATCCACCCCAAACCCTCTCACTCCTCAAGCCCACTCTGCCCCGCTCCCGCGGAAGCAAGGGGGGAAAGGGAGGAGGAGAGAGATCACAACGCGAACAAGAGCCCTGACCCTGCTCCTAACCCTGACAATAATCCAATGATGCTCTAATCGGCCGAGATGCAAGAACCCCGCCAACGCCAGCGCGATCTTGGCGGAATGCTCGTCCCGGGCTTGGAAGAAGGATGTGGACTTCTTGAAGTGGACCAGCACCAGTGTCCCTGCGGCGAGGCGTATGGAATGAGGATGGTGATGGATGGTGATGACGAGGAGGAGGAGGAAGAAAAAGAGAAAGAGAGGGGGGAAGGGGAGGAGGAGGAGGAGGAGGAGGAGGAGGAGGAGGAGGAGGAAGAGGCGGAGGAAGAGGAGGAGGACGACGACGAGGAGAAGGAAGGGGAGGAGGATTACCAAACGCGCAATGAACTTAAAGGGTACCTACACCCATCTGTAAGGATGGGGCGGCCCTCAACGAAATACTGGAAACCGTGTTACTGCGAGAAATGCAAAATCGAATCGTTGGCCGACCGCACACCACATCCTCAAAGTCGGAAGTACTGCAGAAAGCTATCGGCCACCCGCTGACACCAGGGGGGGTCCATGTACCCGTTTTTCTTGCAAGCGGCTGTAACGTATTCCACTATACTTCTTGCTTTCGGCTAGACCTAGGCATAGGATGCCAAATCCGTCGACAGGAATTTGGGACATCTCCCCGCTCTGATCGAACTGTTTGGGGCTCCACTGTCGGGGGATACCCCATCGGGCGCGACGCAGAAATTCGTGACATTTTCGTTGCGTCGCGAATGTGGGTGCGATCTGGTCCATCGCCCCGTTGAGAGGCCGACCTCGGATTTTGGTTCTGCCAGCCTTTCCGCTGTGGGGGCGTGTCTGCCCATCTGCTATCCCACGGCAGTGGGAATAAGAAGCCCTCTAGACACGCAAAACGGCCAACCGCAACACGAATGTCAAACCCATCGCCTCGTTGACAGGCATACCTCGGATGTTCCTTCCTCTGGCGGCAACTGCCCGGCTTCACACCCGGCCCTCCCAGCTCCATCTGCTGCATATAAGGACGAGCAGAACGAGGGAGGGAGGAATATAAAACATTGGTTGACTGGTGTATTGGGTAATGACAAAAATACGCGCTGGTGGGGCTGAACGCACGCAAGAAGCGTCGCAAAACACTATGCGAAACGCCCCAAATGAGGCGTGAATAGGTTGGGCAAAAACGAAATATTTCTTCACACCCCGTCTTCGCCATAAAATTCATGGAACCCAAGCACTCTTTGCGCTGCGCGCCGAGCATCTCAATGTCATGGTTTTGTGCTGCCCTGCACACCCACATCTTCAATCGATACGTGCCTTGTGGACTTGCAACACGAATGAATAAGGCCGCATGTCCGTTGGCAGATGAGCAATGGCACGAAGAAGAAATCACAAACGACGTATGTGCGCACTGGCACCCCAACAGTACACGGAGTAGGTATGCACGGAACGCCCTGTGGTAAAAGACGATCTGTCCTCACAAGGTATCCGCGGACAGATCCGCGGAGGGTGCACGGGTGAGCGACGCAGGAACAGCTACAAAAGCACAGGGGACTCCTGGGAGATGCTGAGGAATCGCGCGCCGCGGGAGCCGCCACCGAAGACTCGACGAACCAATGCGGAGTGGAAACAGGGCGGCTCCAACGTTAAGGCGAGGTCGATGTTTTTGTTTGCCAGATCCAACGCAATCAGGGCGCAAACAGTCCCTGGCTGCGTACAAGGACGGGCGTCCCACGCAGCTGTCAGCTGCAGACGCAGCGGTGCGCATGCATTAGGGGCGCGAGCAAGAGGAAAAGGACTGAAGGCCGGCACGGGAGGAGAGAGGGAGGAGTGCGGAAGAGTCGTTTTCTACATCCCCGCCTCTGCCTCAAAAAGGCGAGCCAAAGGAAGCAGCTCATCCAGCACCTTCGCCTCCCCTTAAAGGTCTCTGTGCTTGCTCTGGGACATCCTCTTCCAATTGCTGCGAGTGTGCGGGCCTGAAGAATTTTCTTTGCACGTCTCTGAGAGCCCGGGTGCTCCCCGCCCCTGGCAGGTGTACCCGCATGAAGGGCAGACGAATATAAACTGGTCATCATCATGGCTGGCTATAAAAATACGGTGACCTCGAGGATCCGCTGCGATGGTTGAGATGGCAGCGCTGTGACCAACACACGCAGCAGTCTGCGGCGGGAGCTCTGACCGGCACCTCGCGTAGCAGACCCAGCAGACCCACGAGGCGGGCTTTATCCCCTTCCAGTTGTGGCCCCTGGCTTGGCCAGGGACCTCTGGCTGGGGGGCCTGAGTGACAAACGAAGCCGGCAATCAGACCCCATCTCGGGTTGCACCTGCCAACACAAGCGGCGGAGGAGGGGGGAGGGAGGAAGGGGGAGGGGCGGGGGAAGGAGGGGGGGCCGCGGCGGCCGCGGTCAAATCCGCTGCGGTCGCTGCTTGAGCACGATGGGCAGGGGGCGCCCGAGAAGGGGGCGGGACCAGAGGAGGTGGGAGAGGGAGCGCCTGACGGGCAGCACCGATGCCCGTGATGAACCCAGGGGCTCTCAACCGCTTGTCACAAGCGCGTCGCAACGCCTTCGAAGGAGCTAGCCGCGGAACAAAACCAGCGCCCGGACTGCATACGCTCGAGGGAAGCGCCCTCTTAAGACTCTATCTAGGACTTGGAGGGTTGCGCCAACGACAGCGCCCCCTTCTTGGCGCATCTGTCGGCCAAGTCGTTCCCTACGGCTCTATACCACTCCAGAGATCCAGCGGGCAACTCGTCGGGACTCCCAGGCGCCGGGACTTCGACAATGCAGAAGTCCTTGGTCCACAAGGGCGCCCTTCTGATTTGGATCTGCCATTAATCTGCCACCACGGCTCATCCGTTAGATTGACCAGGCCTGATAAATCGGAAGGATCGATCATAGAAGCGTTGGGGCAGAACTGCATCACTGCAAGGGCCGCGATGTGCTCAGCCGCTGGGGAGGTTTGCGGGCAGTCTGCCCCCACGGCCCCCCAAAGGGCAGCAAAAGGTTCACCTGCCGGCGTTACTTTCATGACCGCCCAGCCTGCGACATGGAAGGCTACTGGCCCGTCTTTGAAGCATGACCCGTCTGTAAATACATCGCCAGTAAAGGCTTCTGATAAGCCCCCGACGGCGCACCAACATCTATGCCTTCTGATGTCGGTGCCCGGCGGAGGGGTAGACACCTGGCTGTGCTGCTCTTGTAAGCCACAAGCGAAATGGAAGTTTCTGGCAGGATCAGATATGAGGGCCCTGTCAGACTCTGTCAACATCTCTTCTCGAAGGCCTCTCATGCACGAAGAAAAATGGAGGCGATGAGAAATGCTGTCGGATGGGGCTCCACAATTTCATGTTGCGCCTACGCTGTACCCGGCCTGAGTGGCCGACAAAGGCCAGAAGGAGCCCTTACTTATTTGTCGGGAGGCTGCACTTCTGGTTAAGCGTCTGGCCGCGCTGAACTCAAACGTCGTTGATGCCGAATTTGCCCGCAACGCGACTGGTGTGCCCCTGCGCCCAGTACTCTCTGAAATGAAGCTCCATGAGCCTGGGAGAAAAAAGCTGTCAGGGGCCAGCGCCTTCCCGCTGGGCCCTGCATGATGACAGGCGTGTGAAAGGGAGGAGGAGGTGGAGGAGGAGGAGGAACAGGAGGAGGAGGGGGAGGAGGATGAAGAGGAGGGGGAGGAGGGGGAGGAGGAGAATGAGGAGGAGGAGGAGGAGGATGAGGCGGAAGGAGGGGAGGAGGAGGAGGGGAAGGAGGAGGAGAGGAGCAAGGAGGAAAGAGGACGCGGAAGAGGAGGAGGAGGAGGAGAAAGATGAGGAGGAGAAAAAGGAGGAGAGAGAAAGGTAGAGTTGAACAAGGAAGCGGACGGAAGAGGCGGAGGATGCGACAGAAGAGAAAGGGGAGGAGGAGACGAGGACGGGGACAGGACGGACTGACGGATGACGATGATGATGATGATGATGATGATGATGACGACGATGATGACGTTGATGTTGCTGCTGCTGGTGATGAAGATGCTGGTGATGGTGGTGATGATGATCATGATGACGATTGGCGATGACGATGACGATGCTGCTGCTGATGGCGGGGGTGGTTATGAGGATGATGGTGATGGGGATGGTAATGATGGTGACGATGATGATGCTGATGCTGGGGAGGTTGATGCTGATAATGATGGTGATGGTGGTTGTGTGCATGAAGATGGCCACGGTGATGTTGGTAATAATCGATGATGATGTTGATGATGGTGACGGTGGTGATGGTGGCGATGTTGATGATGTTCCTGATAATGGCGATGATGATAATAGTGATGACCATGACGATGATGATGGTGATGATGATGATGATGATGATGATAACGATGGTGGTGCTAAGGGCGGCGGTGAGGGTGATGATGATGATGATGATTATGATGACGATGGTGATGGTGATGGTAATGATGATGTGCTGTTGATGATGCCGATGACGATGATGACGATGATCGCAATGAAGATGTTGGTGCTGGTAATGCTGATGATGAGCGGGAGGAGGGCGATAACGATGACGATGACAATAGTGATGGCAACTTTGGCGATGGTGATGCTGAGGGTGGTGATGAAGGTGAGAATGGAGATGCACGCGACGGCGATAATGACGACGGTGATGCTGATGCTGCTGGTGAAGGGGAGGATGAGGACGAAACGGGCGATGATGACGGTTGTGGTGATGATGATGATGATGATGATGATGATGATGCTGGTGGTGATGATCGTGATGGTGATGATGGTGTTGATGATGGTGGTACTGAAAGCGATGCTGGTGATGATGGCGATTTGGCTGACGACAATGATGATGCTGATGCTGGTGTGGGGGCGAAGGTGTGCATGACCATGGGAGTGATGATGGTGGTGGTGGTGGCGGTGATGATGATGATGATGATGATGATGATGATGATGATGATGATGATGATGATGATGGGGATGCGGATGACGACGACGACGACGATGAGGGGGGGGAGGATGACGAGGAGGAAACGGGTGGTGGGGAGGAGCAAGATGGGAGGAGGAGGACGAGGATGAGGAGGATGAGAAGCAATAGGGGGGCATGCCGACTGGAACACGGAAGCGGACGGAAGAGGCGGGGGATGCGAAAGAAGACGAGGGGGTGGGGAGGCGGGTGCCGAAACAGGACGGAGTAACATATGATCACGCTGATGATGACGATGATGACGGGGACGATGATGGTGGTGATGCGGATGATGAAGATGAACCTGATGACGACGACGATGATGGCGACGGCGATGAGGACGATGATGATAATGCAGTTGCTGCTGCTGGCAAAGATGAGAATGATGCTGCTGAAGATGACGCTGCTGACGATGATGCTAGTGATGGCGATAATAGCGATGATGATGACACTGATGATGCTAGTGGTGATGATGCCGATGATGACGATTATCTCGCCCAGCGCTTGCGATCGGGCTTCGCGCGGAGGCCGCGACCGGCGCGCGTGGGGGGGGCCTAGAAGGCCCGAGCAGCCCGGCCGCGTGCGCGGGCCGAGCGGCGTCGCTCAGGAGAACGAGATGTCCTGCGTGCTGACGAGCACGCGCAGCAAAGCGCTGCTGGCCCCAGCAGAGGACAGGGTGGAGTGAGGGGGGGGGGGGCCGAGGGGCTGCAGGAGCCCAGAAAGGCGCCAAAGGGGAGAATCAGAGAAAACGTTCTCCCGCCCAGCGCTTGCGATCGGGCTTCGCGCGGCGGCCGGAGCCGGCGCGCCCGGGGGGGGGGGCCTAAAAGGCCCGAGCACCCTGGCCGCGCGCGCGGGCCGAGAGGCGCCGCCCAGGAGAAGAAGGAGGTATCCCGCGTGCTGACGAGCACGCGCAGCCATGCCCATGCCCAAAGCACTTGCGATGTGACAAGGCATTGGCGGGCGGCCGAAAGTTGCGTGGACCACGTAGAAAGGCCCACGGCAAGAAATGTCATCTCTTGCCGTGGGCCTTTCTGAGGCGACAAGGCCGGTCGCTGGCGGCAGCGAAATACGCAACGCGCGCACGAGCTAACGAAGGAAGGGCGGGCGCGACGGACGAAGCGGCGGCGGCTTCGAGATCGCGCTCAGCGATAGAGGCCTGGCGCCAACGGCCACGCCAGAAAACGAGTGGGACGTCTTCGATGGCCATATAGAAGCCCGTCGCCCCTGAACCTCGCAAGCAGGCAGGAGTGAGGTTCAGCCCACAGGCCGCATTGGATAGCGGGACGCCGAAGACCCAACGCAGATGGTTCTACCGACTGCGGAAGCCGCTCTGCCCGAAGGGCGCAAGCGGATCGGTGGGAACACAAATGCTGGAACACCAGTTCCAGGAGCCCCACCGACGACCTGTCGGAGCAGCGGGCGTGCTGCGTCGGATAGATACGGCAGGTCTTCGGCGCCTTTATGGCAAGGAAGGCATCACCGCTGGCCTCCAACCTGTCGCTAGGTAGCGACAGGTCACAGCGGTGGGCAGCCAGCAGTTCGCCAGGGCGGAGGAGCATAATGAAACCCATCACAGCCGCAAAGCTGCCATAAGCCGCCAGTCCCAAAGAAAGCTGAGACCAACCATCACCCGAAGTAGTGCGCGAGGGCTTCGCTCGCGGTCCGCGCGCGAGGGAGGCCCGCCAAGCCTCACCAACGGGCCGCGAAGGCCCCGACGCAACAGCCTCCGAGGAGGCTGCAAACGGCAGTGTCTCCGAGTAGGGCCACGACCGTCGAAAGCAGCAAGGGAGTCACCCCGCTGCCCAGATCCACCGCCAACCCAAGGCAGACGGTGGGGCAAGCCGCAGCTCGAGGGGCAGGGGGCAGTACCCCCCGCTGGCCGAATCGGCCTGAGCGGACCACGGGAGCCCTGCGGAGGGAACACTGGGGTCCGCAAGTTGAGGAAGCGGTTGGCCCACGAGCCGCTCGTAGGGCGCGGCTCGAAGGCCCTGGAACAGCAGCGCCCCAGCCCCCTCGATGGCAGCCTGGGCGAACGCCTGCATGAGGCGCCCGCCCCACGAAGCCACGCGAAGGTTTGGGTCGAGAAGCTACAGCAGCCCAGACGGGCGTGAGGGGGGAGAATAAGAGCGAGCATGCTGATGCTGATTATGATAATGCTAAGGATGATGATGCTGATGATGATGCTGATGATGATGATGATGATGATGATGGTGATGATGATGGTGCTGATGATGCTGATGGTGATGATGATACGGTTGACGGTGATTGTGATGTTGTTGTTGATGATGCTGACGATGATGCTGATGCTGATGATGATGGTGATGATGAGCAGGAGGCAGAGTCGGAGGAAAAGCGGGAGGAGGAAGACTGTCAGGACGATCGACGGCCCCTGGCATCTATAGTCCAGCCAGGAGGGCAAGACACTTTTCAAGGATCGCGCTGATCTGAGAAGCGTCGGTGCTGGTCGGTTCCTCATGCTCCTGCTCCTCCCGTTCCTCATTCTGCTCCTTCTCCTCCTCCTCCTCCTCCTCCTCCTCCTCCTCCTCCTCGCGCTCGTCCTCCTCCTCCTCCTGCTCCTCCTCCTCCTTCCGCCCCATCCCCCTCCCTTTTCCTCCCCTCTTCCCCCTCCAGGGAATCAAGCGAGAACGACGCGATGAGACGTCCATGCCCTGGAGATGCTTCGAGCCAAACCGACCGCACACCGGACAATGGCGCACATTCTCGCGCGAATCCCCACCTTCCTCCCTCCCCCTGTCCGTCCTCGTCCTCCCTCGTCCTCCTGCTCATTTTCATCCTCATCCTGCTCTGCGGGCGCGAAAAAACAAGGATTCCACAACCGCTACTCCCCCGACCTCTCCCAACGTGCCCTCTGACTACAAACATCGCGGAGAATCCAACCGTGGCGACGAGGACTCGTGCTCCTGCTCCTGCTCCTGCTCCTGCTCCTGCTCCTGCTGCTGCTGCTGCTGCTGCTGCTGCTGCTGCTGCTGTTCCTCCTCCTCCTCCTCCACCTCCTCCTCCTCCTCCTCCTCCTCCTCCTCCTCCTCCTCCCACCTCCACCTCCACCTTCACCTCCTCCTCTTCCTCCTCCTCCTCCACCTCCCACCTCCACCTCCACCTTCACCTCCTCCTCTTCCTCCTCCTCCTCCCTCCTCCTCCTCCTCCACCTCCCACCTCCACCTCCATCTTCACCTCCTCCTCGTCTTCCTCCTCCTCCTCCTCCTCCTCCTCCTCCTCCTCCTGTTCGCCTCTGTGCACCGAGCTGTACGTGGTGAAGGAGTCCACCAGCAGCGCGCAGAGCTCCCCGAGGCGGGACCTCTCCCTCGTGTGCTGCTCGTCGCGCTGGGCGGGCCGCGGATAGGGGCAGGGGCCGAGCGAGGAGGGTGAGAGGCGAACAGGAGGAGGAGGAGGAGGAGGAGGAGGAGGAGGAGGAGGAGGAGGAGGAGGGGGAGGAGGGGGGGAGATGCCAGGGGGAGGGAGAGGAGGAGATGTTTTTGTTTGGGCTCGACGCCCCAGCGCCGTTTGAGGCCCACGGTCTCCGCGGAGGCGGGAGCAGCGGCGGCCTGCGCCGCGGAACTAGCCAGAGGGTGCAGGTGCTGCAAAGGCGTGGAGACGGTGCGGTTGACAGTGCCAGGGGGGGGGGGGCGGGAGAGCGGAGGGATGAATAGCACGAGTGGAGAGGAGAAGGAAGAGGAGAAGGAGGAGGAAGGGCGAAGGAGGAGGAGGAGGAGGATGAAGAGGAGGAGGAGGAGGAGGAGGAGGAGGAGGAGAAAGAGGAGGCGCAACGTTGCGCACGAAGTCTGTTTGATCTCGGAAGCTCCGCACCCCGAGCGGCAGGGGGTGAGAGGAGAGATGGCGGAAGCCCCTCGTATACCAACCTCGCAGAGCACAGGAAGAGGAACAAAAACGTGGGGAAGGGCCGTGATGACGAGGCCGGCTTCGTGGAATTGATGCCATACTTGGCATCGCTCGGACGTGTGCAACTTTTTTCTCGGCGAGGATCACCGAGGAGCATCCGGGATCATTTAGCAGAACGAGGCACGCACGAAACCGAAAAACGCACGGGGCATGGACGTCGGAGCGATGGCAGGCATAGCGGAAGGAGGCAAGGTGCACCCACAGCCACGACATCAGGCACGATCAGTCAATCGGCGGTTCAGGCGGCACGCAATGGTGAGCTAGCGAACTAGCGCTTCGAGCACCCCCACGGACTCGAAACCGTCAGCCTCGGCGGCGATATCGTCGAACTCGGCGTGGCCGAGTGGCGGGCCGTCGGCTTCGCGGCCCCGAGGGGGTGGAGGCGTGACCGGCCCTGCCTGGTGCACTCCCCGCCGAACCTGCGCGTCGAGGCCCGGCCTCTCCCGCCCAGGGCGGCGCGCTTCCACGGGGCGAGCTCGCAGAGCCGCAGCGTCGGCAGGCCCAGGGGGAACGCGAGGGCGCCGGGCGTGCCGCGCCGGTGGCAGGGCCACCCGTCGTGCCGCAGAGAGTGAAGGGGCCCTGGGACACACAAAGAAATACACACAAATAAAAATGTTCCCCTATGTTCCCATATTTTCTGGGGTTTTGTCTTCCCTCCCACTTCCCATACTTTCCCATATTTTCTGGGGACTCGAAGATTCATCGTGTCGGTGTGTTTGCTTCCCTCCTGAAAAGGAGCATGCCGACCCACCTCCACGGCCCTGTGGCGGTCGGGAGGCGTGCGGGCCTCCGCACGCTGGGAGCTGGCCACCTCCATCGACCGTTGGGAGCTGCGCACGCAGAGGACCACTGCGGCTGCCGATGTCCGGTGCCAGCCGCTTTTGCAAACACTCGAAAGGAGCTCCAGTCTTCTTCAAGCTGCGCTCTGCCACAACAGTCGTCGTGAGCTTCAGAAAGATCGGCACCGCCGACCCCGAGATGGTCGGCGCAAAAACCTGAACCATCTCGCGGACCGCGTTGGAAATCTTGCGTCCGACCTCTAGCAGAACAGAAGATACAGAGTTGATAAGTTCCGACTTCAATACTGCAAGCCCGCTCGTCAAACCGTGTCTGAATGGAATCCGCCCCGACATGCTGATGGTCCGCGTCGTCTTGGGAAGGCCCCGCTCTCGCCGACTCCGAGGACGCACCCACCTGCGAGGAGGAGGAAAAGGAAGGAGGAACCCGGAGAAGGTACAGGACGAGGCGCATCTCCAAGCTTATTATCCAACATACCCTGACGCTTCCCAGTCGTTTGATTCTGAGCAGCTGCACGGCCAGAGCACGCAGCAAGCTGGGAATCAGAACTATCCACTATCCGGGGACTCCGCGCGGACCTTCTGGCGTCTGTGCCAGCGCAAAGGTTCCCCCCTCCCTCCTCGCCCTCGTCATCCTGCTTTTCCACCTCCTCCTCCTCCTCCTTTTCCTCCTTCTCCTCCTTCTCCTCCTCCTCCTCCTCCTCCTCCTCCTCCTCCTCCTCCTCCCACACCTCCACCTCCACCTCCACCTCCTCCTCCTCCTCCTCCTCCTCCTCCTCCTCCTCCTCCTCCTCCTCCGGGTGGGGGTGGTATCTTTGTGTAGGTGGCTTCGCCTTTTTTCCAGCGATATCTCTGTACATCATCATTATTATTGGCATCACCACCATGACTCATCATTCGCCACTCACCATCATTATCATAGTCATCGTCATCATGATCATCATCGTCTCATCGTCATCGTCATCATCATCACCAACACCATCATAATCATCATAATCTCTCTCCGTCCCTCCCTTCCGCTCTCCCTGTCTCCCTACCACTCGCTTTCCTCTCTCTCTCTCTCGCCCCCTCTCTTGTGTAGGTGGCGTCGCAGTTTTTCCAACGATATCTCTGTGCGTCTGCTTCTGGCCATCATCATCATGATGATCATCATCATGACCATCATCACCATCAACATCAACATCATCATCGTCATCGTCATCATCGTCGTCGTTATCAGCATCATCGTCGTCGTCATCATCATCATCGTCATCATCATCATCGTCATCATCATCATCGTCATCATCATCATCGTCATCGCCATCGTCATTATCATCTCTCTCCGTCCATCTCTTCCGCTCTCCCTGCCCCCCATCATTCGCTTGCTTCTCTCTCTCTCTCTCTTGTGTGTAGGTGGCGCCACAGTTTGTCCAACGAGATCTCTGTGCATTTGCTTCTGGTCATGATCATCATTATCATCATGATCATCATGGTCCTCATGATCATCACCACCATCATCATCATATCTCTCCGTCCCTCCTTTCAGCTCCCCCTGTCTGCCTATCAGGCGCTTGCCTCTCTTTCTTTCTCTCTCTCTCTCTCTCTCTTTCTCTCTCTCTCTCTTGTGTAGATGGCGTCGCAGTTTTGGCCAATGATACTTCTGTGCATTTGCGTATGATTATCATCATGGTCATCATGATCATCACCATCACCATCATGCATCATCATCATCATCATCATCATTCATCCTTCTCCCATCCAACCATCCGCTCGCCCTGTCTCCCTCTCCCGCTCTCCCTCGCTCTTGCTCGCTTATAATAAATAATAGATTCCTCCTCCTCCTCCTCTTCATTCTCCTCCTCCTCCTCCTCATCATCATCATCATCCTCATCATCTCTCGCGCCCTTGCTTCCGCTCTCCCTGTCTCCCTATCCCTCGCTTCCTCGTTGTTGCTTCTCTCTCTCGTTCTCCCTCTCTCTCTCTCTCTCCCTCTCTTTCTCTCCTTGTCTCCCCATTGGCCCCCCTGTGATCTTCTGCGTTTCGGCGCCAAACAACTTGCGTGAGACCCGCGACAAAGCCGTCCGACAGCGAATCGACGTCTCTGGCAGGTTTCGAGACGATCCCAAGCAAGCAGTAACAAGAGGTAACCTCAAACCAAACATGGTTGTTGAGTCTGGCGCGGTTTCGCGCGCGCTTCAACAGCGTAAGCAAGGGTTAACATCAAATCAACATATGGTTTCGAGCATGTTTCGCTTCCGCGCGCGTCTGTCGTTGTGCTCCTAGATGGAAGTATAAGCAACACATGCCGACGACGAATCAAGGCGTCTGGCGGGGGACAAAACAAACCCAGATATGCAGAAACACGATTTAGCATCAAACCGAACACTGTTTTTGGTCATTCGCTCTTTCGCGCGTGCCTGTCGTTGCAACCCTAGTGGAACATCATGTCGAACGTCGCCGAAGACGAAACAAGGTGTTTTGGCAGGCGCCATAACAAACCCTGACAGTTATAAACAAGGGGTAGCCCCAAACCAAAACTGGTTCTGACCACGTTGCGTTTTCGCGCGCGTCTGTCAGTGTGCCCCATAAGAAAATGAAAGCAAACACTGTCTGATGACGAAGCCGGGTGTCTAGCAGACGCCAAGGGGAAAACAGAGAATCATAAACAAGGCTTAACATCAAACCAACAATTGTTTTCAACGGGTCGCTCTTTCGCGCGCGTTTGTCCTTGCAGCCCTATATGAACAATCGTATCGACATCTTCCGTCGACGAAGCAAAGTGTCGGGCAAGCGCCAGAACAAGCCCAAACAATCATAAACAATGGTTAGTCTCCAACCAAAAGTTGTTTTCTATCATGTTGTGCTTCTGCGCAGGTCAGTCGTTGTGCCCCCGATAGGAAAGCGAAAACAAAACGCCCCTACGACGATGCCACGAGTATGACAGGCACCAAAAACAAACCCAATCAAGCATGAACACGGTTCAACATTAAATCAAACATTGGTTTCAACATGTGCTTTTGGATTCGAATTGGATTCTAAGTTCAATAGGGAGATAGCGGATCCTACATCCAGGGGACTGTTATCTGCATTACAATTAAATTCCAACGGTATTCCAATAGAAATGTGACGGGTTCCGTATCCAGTGAATTTCTATTGGAACCTAATTGGGTTCTACTAAAATTACAATTGGAAAAGTGCGGATCCCAGATCCAGAGGATTTCTATTTGAATTTTCATTAGATCCAGAGGATTCCTATTGGAATCTAATTAAATGTTAATATGATTTCAATAGGAAGATAGCGGATCCCAGATCCAGAGAATTTCTATTTGGATTCTAATTAGATTCCAATTGGATTTCAATAGAAATGGGACGGGTTCCGTATCCAGAGGATTTCTATTGGGATCTTATTAGATTCTCATAGGAATTCAATAGGAAGGGAGCGGATCCCAGATCCAGGGGATTTCTATTTAGAATCTAATTAGATTCGAATTGGATTTAAATAGAAACGGCACGGATTCCGCATCCAGAGGATTTTTGTTGGAATCTAATTAGATATTAAATAGAAAAGCTGTGGTTCCCAATGTTTGTTTATACAAATCAATAAAAACGCAGTGTTTTTCAATCTTTTCATTTGGGAAGTAATAAAAACGCTGTGTTTTCCAGCTTTTTAAAATAAAATGAATAAGAACGGAATGTTTTCCAATCTTTTTATTTGGAAATGAATAAAAACTGTATGTTTTCCAGCTTTTCAAAATAAAAATCAATATATATATATATAAAAAAAAAAAAAAAAAAAAAAAAAAAAAAAAAAAAAAAAAAAAAAAAAAAAAAAAAAAAAAAAAAAAAAAAAAAAAAACGCTGTGTTTCAATCTTTTTATTTGAAAAGTAATAAAAACGCTGTGTTTTCCAGCTTTTTGAAATAAAAAACAGTAAAAACGGTGTGGTTACAGCGTTTCGTGCGGGAATATAATGAAAACGCTGTGTTTTCTTTACTTTTTAAATGCGGGCGTGCTGAAACCTAGTGTTTTTACAAGTTTCTGGCAACCGCGATCAATAAACCATTGTGTTTTACAGCGTTTGGGCGCTCTGAGGCAGCCAAAACATGTGTTTTGCAGCCTCCGAGCATTTGAAAACATGTTTTCCTAATGTTTTTCAATAATTCCAATTATTTCCAATATTTTCCAATAAAAACGCTGTGTTTTCCAATTTTCCAATACTTTTTGAACGTTTCGGGCTCCGTGGCTGGTGGGTCGGCGGCGGGCGGCTGGAAAATTCAAAATAATTGGAAAACACAGCGTTTTCCAATTTTGTCTAATGAAAATCAATGAAAACGCAATGTTTTCCAATTTTTTACAATAAAATAATAGAAAAACGTTGTGTTTTCCAATTTTTTACACCAAAATAATTGGAAAACGCTGTGTTTTCCAATTTTGCATCACAGAAATCAATGAAAACCTTGCGTTTTCCAATTATTTTGAATTTTCCAGCCGCCCGCCGCCCGCCCACCAGCTCTGGAGCCCGAAACCTTCAAAAGTATTGGAAAATTGGAAAACACAGCGTTTGTATTGGAAAATATTGGGAATAATTGGAATTATTGGAAAACATTAGGAAAACTGGTTTTCAAATGCTCGGAGGCTGCAAAACATAGGTTTTGGCTGCCTCAGAGCGCCCAAACGCTGTAAAACACAATGGTTTATTGATCGCGGTTGCCAGAAACATGTAAAAACACAAGGTTTCAGCACGCCCGCATTTAAAAAGTAAAGAAAACACAGCGTTTTTTTTATTAGATTCCTACACGAAACGTTGTAAAACATACAGTTTTTATTGCTTTTTTATTTTAAAAAGCTGGAAAACACAACGTTTTTATTAATTTTTAAAATAAAAACATTGGAAAACACAGCGTTGTATTGTTTTTTTTATTGAAAAAATAAAAAAAAACACAGTTTTTTTTTCAAATAAAAAGATTGGAAAACACAGCGTTTTAATTGTTTTTTATTTAAAAAAGCTGGAAACACACAGTTGTTATAAATTTCCAAATGAAAAGATATGAAAACACAATGTTGTTATTGTTTTTATTATAAAAATGGAAAACACAGCATTTTTATTAGTTTCCAAATAAAGAGATTGGAAAACACAGCGTTTTTGTTCTCTTTATTTTAAAAAAGCTGGAAAACACATCGTTTTTGTTAATTTCCGAATGAAAAGATTGCGCAACGCAGCGTTTTTATTTATTTTTATTTAAAAAGCTGGAAAACACAGCGTTTTTATTTAATTTGATTTGAAAAAGCTTGAAAACACAGCGTCTATTAGAATTCAATTACATTCCAATAGAAATCCTCTGGATGCGGAATCAGTGCCGTTTCTATTGAAATCCAATTGGAATCTAATTAGATTCTAAATAGATATCCTCTGGATCTGGGATCCGCTCCCTTCCTATTGAAATCCTATTCAAACCCAATTAGATTCCAATAGAAATCTTCTGGATGCGGAATCCTTCCCGTTTCTATTGGAATCCAATTGGAATCTAATTAATTTCTAAATAGAAGTCCTCTGGATCTGGGATCCGCTCCCTTCCTATTGAAATCCTATTCAAACCCAATTAGATTCCAATAGAAATTCCCTGGATGCGGAATCCGTCCCATTTCTATTGAAATCCAATTGGAATCTGATTAGATTCTGAATAGAAATCCTCTGGATCGGGGATCCGCTCCCTTCTTATTGAAATCCTATTCAAATCCAATTAGATTCCAATATAAATTCTCTCGATGCGGAATCCGTCGCATTTCTATTGAAAACCAATTGGAATCTAGTTAGAATCCACATAGAAATCCCCTGGATCTGAGATCCGCTCTCTTCCTATCGAAAACCTATTAGAATCCAATTCGATTCCAATATTGCAATTGATGCGGATGCACAATTCGATTCCAATGAAAACACACAAGCCACCTACACAAAGATACCACCCTTACCCTCCTCCTCCTCCTCCCCTTCCTCCCCCTTTTCGCCCCTCCCTTACACCCGAAAGGGCGTCCCAAGCCTGCCCCCCCCCCCTACTCCCGACTCCTACCCCCCCCCCTTGCATCGACATGCTGTCGGGCCGATCTGGCCCGTAGCGTCAGGGGTGCGGTCTGCCTCCTGCAGCAGGGCCGCGCCATGCAAGATCGGCAAAACGACCCCGACGCAGTCCCAGGCACTGCGCGCGGCACAGCGAGGGGCCGGTGGGCCGAAAACGCCGGGAGAAGCAGCGAAGAACGCGACCTGGCCGAGGGTGAGGAACACGATGCGGCATCCGAGGGCCCCCCCCCCATCGCTCCCTCCGCCCCCTCCTCCCCCTCCTCCCCCGTCTCCCCCCCTCCCCCGTCCTTCCCCATCCTCCCCCTCCTCTCCCCTCCCCTCCCCCGTCCTCCCCCGTCCCCCTCTACAGTGAATCCATATGAATACTACTCTCCTCGCTCCCCCGGTGGCGTCCGGGGATAATTCGCACCCCCCTCCGCGTACGTGTTTTTTACACACAGGATTCCGGGAAGTTGGGTTCTCGCTTGTTTTTTTATACTGCTCTCGCTGAAGCGCTGGCCTCATTTTCGGGCTCCCGCTCGTTCGGAATCGTGCTCCCGCTGCAGCGCTGGCCTCGTTTCCGCGCTTCCGCACGTTCCGAATCGTGCTCCCGCTGCAGCGCTGGCGTCATTGTTTCCAGCGCCATGCCACGGCATGGTTTTCGGTCCTTCCAAAGGGCTCCAAAATCTAAAAAGTGCCCCCCCCCCCCGAAAAAAAACATCGGAAGTGATTACACATTCGGTGTCGATTCGCTGATTTTTTTGACCGCAGAAGCACCCCCCCACGTTGGGGCTTCGCCACGCCATGCTATGTCAGGCTACGCTTCCTCATTTCCGCGCTTCCGCGCATTGTTTTTCTTTTTTTCAAAATTCTGCTCTCGCTGAAACTCCGGCCTCACTTGCGGGCTACCGCTCGTTCCGAATCGTGCTCCCGCTGCAGCGCTGGCTTAATTTCTGCGCTTCCGCTCGTTCCGAATCGTGCTCCCGCTGCAGCGCTGGCGTCATTATTTCCAGTGCCACGCCCCGAAGAAACCATCGGAAGTGATTACGCATTCGGTGCCGATTCTCTGACTTTGTGGGCCGCAGAAGCCTCCCCCCCACTTTGGGGCTTCGCCACGCCATGCTACGTCATGCTACGCGTTGATCTTCCATGCTACGACATCCGGTTGTGCGAATCGAGAGGAGATCTACGTCATGGTAGAGGATGGGAGGGAGGGGTAGGACGTCAGATATGACGCGAGCGCACCTAGCTTGCCCTCCTGCCCCTCCTACCCCTCTCCCTCCTCCCCCTCCTCCCCCCCTCCTCCGTCCTCCCCCGCCCTCCCTTCGCCCTCCCTGCCCGCTGCTGGCCGCCGCCCGCCCGGCCAGCGCCAGGCCTCCAGCATCGCCTGCACCACCTTGGGCCCGAAGTCCAGGCCGGTGAGCACCGCGTTCATCAGGGGCGCCCAGGCCAGCAGGTCCTGGGCCACGCGCCGGGGGGAGGGGAGGGGGGGGGCACGCTCCAGGGACACGTCGGCGACCCTCAGACATAAAGAGCGGCGTGTTCGAGCAGGACTGCCTCGGGCCTGACTCTGGGCAGGAGTTCGGCGGCGCGCCCGATGGGGGGAGCGAGAGGGAGAAGGCCCTCTCAGAAGGCGGCGGGGCTTGCCGCCTGCCGAGAAGCTGCCTGCGTCTCCGGGGAAGGCCCCGAAGACTTCTCAGACGGCCCGCGGCCTTCCGCACCTTCTGAGGAGGCCCGCGCCCTCTGGCTTCCCGCTGGGCTCGGCGCCGAGGAGTGTTCCGAGAACACTTCGGGAGACACAGCCCGGTCTTAGAACGTGCCCTGGTGGGCCCATGGGCAGGTCAGGACGCCTCGCCACTGTTTGAGGGAGCGCTGCGTCACGTTGACAGGGGATAGGCGGGAGGCGTACCGCGGCGTACTTGTACCGAAGAGCTGTGTAGAGAGGGCAAGGACAAGGCAAGAAGGCTCTCGCTCGAGATCCGCCGTACTCTGGTCGCTTCCAGAAGCGGGGCGGAAATGTCCACCCCAGGTTTCGAGCTCCTCTGATGTAAGTGTCTGCCGTGTCCGTTGATGGACTTCGCGCCATTCGGGGTGCACTTGCGACGCAATTGCAAACCGAAAAATCAACTGCTGAAGGACGGCGGATCCGAAGTCTGGGGAGGGAGTGGGGAAACCAAACAGTACAGAGATTGCTACTCCCCGGATCTACCCTTGCGTGCGTTCTGACCAGGATTTCGAGGCGAATCCAACGGTGGCGGCGAGGGCCTCCCAGGAGGCCCAAGAATGGGAAAACGAGGGAAGGGTACCTTTTCCTCCTCCGAGGGAGAGGGGAACGGAGCAGTGGCCAGGGCGGACGAAGGACGGGATACCAGGGGGGGGGGGGGGGGGCGAATCCTCCTCCTCCTCCTCATCGTCCTCCTCCTCGTCCTCCTCCTCCTCCTCGCTCGTCCTCCTCCTCGCTCCTCCTCCTCCTCCTCCTCCTCCTCCTCCTCCTCCTCCTCCTCTCCATCATCATCATCATCATCATCATCATCATCATCATCATCATCATCATCATCATCATCATCATCATCATCATCATCATCATCATCATCATCATCATCATCCCTGGTCGCGCAGCTGATGTCTCGGGCGCCTCCCGTCGGTCGCCAAGCAGGCGCCAAGGCATCGAGGGGAAAGGCGCCCATCGGCGGGGCCGAAGCCAGCTGCACGCAGCAGAGTTCAACCCTAAGACGAAGCCAGGACTAGACGGTTTCTCCCTGGGCCGTAGGCGACGAGGAGGGGAGGGCGAGGAGGAGGAGGAGGAGGAGGAGGAGGACAGGAGGAGGAGGAGGAGGAGGAGGAGGAGGGCGAGAAGGAGGAGGAGGAAGAGGAGGAGGAGGAGGAGGAAGGAGGGGGGGGAGGAGGAGGATCAGGAGGACGAAAACGGGTCGCCGAAGCCCTTCGGAGAAACCCTCCAGCCAGGACGAAGATTAAATTGGGTGAGGACAAATCGAGAATCTCTGAGATCCGGTGGCTCTGGAGGATGTCTCGGGCGCCGCGGCCTTCTCGGAGCGTTCCAGAACGCTCTGAGAGCGTCCCGGAACGCTCTGGAGCAGATTTATCTTCGTCCTTGCTCCGCCCGACCTTTCCTTACACCCCAGCTCAGAAGTAAGATATTTTTACGCTTAGAAAATCGGCTTCACTCCGGACACTTTCTTCAACAGTAGCCCAGGCCCAGATATACGAGCATCCCACGAAGAAAACAGGAAAGAGCCCCAAGATAACGCCCAGGGCCTGGTCCAAATTTTTGATTTCTTCGAAGAAAGTGGGGTCCCACGAAAATTCACGCTTTTTTAGAGATGTCTGATGGGTATATCCCCTTCTTTCATTCGAGCCGAAGCGGGAGCGACGAGACCGCCATGAAGGGATTTGTCCTTCCCTGCTGTCCTCGCTGGCCCCTGCCTGCTTCAGCATCACCATCAGCAGCTGGTACAGAGCCGCCGTTCCCGCATGTTGAGGAACAGGATCAGGCGGCTAGTTGCACGGGTGGCAAATATCACGAGCCTTTGGGGCGTAGGTGGTCTAACGGTATTCTTTGTTTCCCGTCCAAAACCCTTTTTCCTTCGGGGAGGGTCCCTCCACCCCCTTCCTGAGGACTTTCTTGGGGGGGGCGCGAGCTGTCAGAGCGCCCGAGATGGCCAAGATGATTCCAAGATGGCCCCCGATGCTCACGAAGGCCCCCAAGATGGTCCAAGATAGCCGAAGATGGTTCAAGATGACTTCCGACATGGCTCCAAGAGGCCCCAAGTGCACAATTAGACAGCTCCAAGTGCTCTCGGAGCCCCCTTGGGACTTCCCTAAGAGGCCCAGATCCCTCAACAAATCACAGATTCTTGCCTTCTCGCCTTTTCGCTTCCGATGCTGCGTTGAGGCCTCAAGATGGCCGCAAGTTAGCCCAAGAAAGCCCCAAAAGGGGCCCAAGGGGCACCCAAGACGGCACCAGGACCGCCCAAGAGCCCCCCAAGGGCGCCCCAGGAGAGCACCATGCTGCGTTGAGGCCTCAAGATGGCCGCAAGTTAGCCCAAGAAAGCCCCAAAAGGGGCCCAAGGGGCACCCAAGACGGCACCAGGACCGCCCAAGAGCCCCCCAAGGGCGCCCCAGGAGAGCACCAGGGGGGGGGGGGGGTGAGGGGCTAACGAATGGGACCCCCCCCCCTCTTGATCGATGGCCTCCCAGATTACCCCAAAAGGTCCTCCGGTGCTCTCCCAAAAGAAAAAGGCCCCAAGACCCCCCAAACGAGCCCCAAGAGGACCCCCACAAGAGAGCCTCAAGACGGCCCCAAGAGGGCACCGAGAGAATCATCGTCCTCGTTGTCCTCTCTCCCCCTCCTCCTCCTCCTCCTCCTCCCCCTCCTCCTCCTTCTCCTCCTCCTCCTCCCCCCCTTCCTCCCCCTCCTCCTCCTCCTCCTCCTCCTCCTCCTCCTCCTCCTCGTTTTCCTCATCATCGCTCTGGTCCTCGTCTTCGTTTTCGTCGTCGTCGTCCTCCTCCTCCTCCTCCTCCTCCTCGTTGTCCTCGTCCTCCTCCTACTCGCCCTCCTCCTCCTCCTCCTCCTCCTCCTCCTCCTCCTCCTCCTCCTCCTCCTCCTACTCGCCATCCTCCTCTTCCTCCTCTTCCTCCTCCTCCTCCAACTAGTCGATGTCCCCATGAGGGTCCCGAGAGAGCCCACCGAAGACCCAAAGAGGGCACCAAGAAGTGTCACCATTACTGGCCTCACTACTTCACCATCTGCCTACCTACTCCACTTCTTCAGACACTTCCCCTGCGCACCGTTTCTGGATGGGCTGGTGGGGATTCGACAACAACTGCTGCTCCTGGCCTGGCTCAGCGCCGCCCCGCGTCCGCAATCGCTGGCTGTCTTCTCGACACCCCAGATACGTGGTGCTGGTGATTTGAATGGTGATGGCAGCTCCAGTTGCGGTGGTGGCGGTGGCGAGAGGTGGTGTTGATCGCGGAGAACCCATGGCGTCGAAAAGCAAACATCACCTATGATATTCTCGCGTCTCCGCCTGTCTCCGTCGGTACCCTACGTCGGAGGAAGCAGACGCTGTGTCGCTCTCTGGATCGCTTCTCCGTGATCCCCCATCCCGCATGCCCCGTCTGTGTTCCTTCCCTTGCTCCTCCTCCCCGTCCCCCCCTCCTCCTCCCCGTCCTTCCTCCTCCTCCTCCTCCTCCTCCTCCGCCTCCTGCTCCCAAATACCGCTCCTCTATCCTCCTTGTCCTCCTCCTGCTCCGACTGCTCCTCCTGATTCCACCGCCCCCTCCTCCTTCCTGCTGCTCCTCCGCCCTGAGCGGGCGACGACGCGTGTACGTGTGCGCCCTCGGCGCTCCCGCGTGCTCAGATGGCCGCACTCTTGCGCAGGCCCGCCAGAGCTGACCTCGCACGGGCACGCGTTGTTTGCCTCCGGCCTCCTCCCGACCCCTCCTCCACCATCCTGTTCCTCCTCCACCCCTTCTCCTTCTCTTCCTCCTCCCTCCTCCTCCTTCTCCTCCTCTCCTCCCCTCCTTCCTCCTCCCCTCCTCCTCCTCCTCCTCCTCCTCCCTCCTCCTCCCTCCTTCTCCCTCCTCCTCCTCCTCCTCCCTCCGCCTCCTCCTCCTCCTTTCTCCCTCCTTCCGCCTCCTGCCTCCCTGCCCCTTCGTCCTCCGCCCTGCCCCCCCCTGACTTCGGATCCACCGAACTTTGGGCGACTTCGCAAGCGAAGCGGGCATTTCCTTGCTACTCTTCAAGGGCAGAAGCCCGCCTGTCGTCGACAGAAAAGCATGTAGTCCCGTGCGCGGTGTGAGCTTGTTCTTGTTCACTTGTATATGCAAATCGCCCAACATACATGCATACGTACATACATACATACATACATACATACACATACACATACACATACACATACACATACACATACACATACACATACACATACATACATACATACATATATACATACACACATACATACATACATACATACATACATACATACATACATACATACATACATGCACATATGCATGCATACATACAATACATGCTGACAGGCATACCTACATACATACATGCATACATACATATACACACACACATGCATGCATGCATACATACATACATGCATGCATGCATCCAGACACAACGACAGACAGACAGACAGACAGACAGGCAGGCAGGCAGACAGACAGACAGACAGACAGACAGACAGACAGACAGACATATACACAATTTTACATACATACACATACATACATGCATACATGCATACACACCTGCATATGTACATGCATGCATACAAACCTACATACACATACACACATGCAAACACACATACAAACATACATACATACATACTAGAACCATCGCGCGCTTCGCGCGCGCTCAAGTTCTAGCTAAGCTGGATGGTCGAACTCTTGGAGCTTCCTGATGGGCTTCCGGGAGCCCAGGGCTGGAAATGTTCGTTCGGCCCCCGCCTGGACCGCTGGGCTCTTGGGGGCTTCTTTCTGGCCTCCTGGATGCTGCTTGAGGCCGCTTGGGGGCCTCTTGGGAGCCTCTAGGGCTCTCTTGGGGGCCACTTGGGGCCTCCTCGGAGCATCCTGAACTGCTTCTTGAAGTCGTCATGGGACCTTCTTGGCATGTCTTCGGGGGCCTCTTAGAAAGAGTTTGAAGCCTTTGGGGTTCCGTCTTGGGGCCTCTTGGAGCCTCTTTTGGGCTTCTTGGGGGCCTCTTGGGGGCCTCTTGGGGCTTCCCGGGGGCCTCTTGGGGCCTGTTGGGGGAATCTTGGGGCGGAGAGCTTGTTTTTCGGTTTGCGTTCCCTGGCTTGGGCCCTTCTTGGGGCCTTCTTGGGACCCTCTTACGCCGTCTTGGGCGGCTCTGGGGGCCGTCTCGGGGCTCTCTTGGGCCGTCTTGGCGGCCTCTTGGGGCCTCTTGGGGGCCTCTTGGTGCCTCTTGGGGGCTTCCCGGGGGCCTCTTGGGGCCTCTTGGGGGCATCTTGGGGCGGAGAGCTGGATTTTTCAGTTCGCGTTCCCTCTCTTGGGCCCCTCTTGGGGCCTTCTTGGGACCCTCTTGCGCCGTCTTGGGCGGCTCTGGGGCCGTCTCGGGGCTCTCTTGGGCCGTCTTGGGGCCCTCTTGGGGGCCTCTTGGGCCGTCTGGGGGCGGTTTGGGGAGCCTCTTGGGCGGTGCTTTCGCGCTGGAAGCACGAAACAACGAGAATGCAACAAACAGTTGACAAAAAAAAAAATGAAAATTACGACTTTGCCCTCTCGGGGCGCTCTTGGGCGCCATCTTAAAGGCCTCTTGCAGCGTCTTGGGGGCCTCCGGGGCAGTATAGAACGCATCCCTCTTGGGGGCCTCGTGGGGCCTCTTGGGGGCTTCCCAGGGGCCTATTGGGGCCTGTTGGGGGCATCTTGGAGCGGAGAGCTTGATTTTTCAGTTCGCGTTCCCTCTCTTGGGCCCCTCTTGGGGCCCTCTTGGGACCCTCTTGCGCCGTCTTGGGCGGCTCTGGGGCTGTCTCGGGGCTCTCTTGGGCCGTCTTGGGGCCGTCTTGGGGGCCTCTTGGGCCGTCTTGGAACGGTTTTGGGAGCCTCTGAGGCGGTTCTGTAGCGCCGGAAACACAAAACAGCGAGAACGCAAACAACATTTTAAGAAACAAATGAAAATCAACGATTTTGCCCCCTCGGGACGCTCTTGGGAGGCATCTTAAAGGCCTCTTGGGGCATGTTGGGGGCCTCCAGGGCAATTTAAAACGCATCGTGCGGCCTCTTGGGGGCCTCGTGGGGCCTCTGGGGGCATCTTGGGGCGGAGAGCTTGATTTTTCAGTTCGCGTTCCCTCTCTTGGGCCCCTCTTGGGGCCCTCTTGGGACCCTCTTGCGCCGTCTTGGGCGGCTCTGGGGCCCTCTCGGGGCTCTCTTAGGCCATCTTGGAAGTTTTGGGAGCCTCTTGGGTGGTGCTTTAGCGCCGGAAACACGAAGCAACGAGAATGCAAAAAACAGTTGAAAAAACAACCATGCAAATCAACGATTTTGCCCTCTCGGGGCGCTCTTGGGCGCCATCTTAAAGGCCTCTCGGGGCGTCTTGGGGGCCTCAGCTTAAAACGCATCGTGCGTCGCCAGAGACCCCTGGACGGCATCTTGGGGGTGTCTCGAGACCGCCTGGGGCCGCCGGGACTGCTGTCCTGAGGGCTCCCCGGGGCGATTTTAGGCCTCGGAGGAGGGCCGGGGCCCCGGGACCCACATGTGTGGTCGAGGTTCCGGCCCTGGGCCCCCTGGCCCGGCGCGCCGTTATATGTGTACATGCGCACATACATGCGTGCATGCATAAATACATACACACAGACATGCAGAGTACATACATGTACATGCATGCATGTATGCATGCACACATCTGCAGTGTGTATGTGTACGTGTGTAAACAGGTGTACTTATGATCCGTCGCCACAAAAAAACTACAATCTGGGGCCC